CCTAAAGAGTTATTTTAATTTTTATATTATTTTAATAATTAGTTTTTAAAATTACATTATTTTAGTCTTTTAAGCCTCAATTTGGCGATATAGAATAGGTTTGATTGAAATTCTTTTTACGCTCTAGATGACAAGTAAAACCGGGTCGAGCCACTGTATCCTGCTAGCCTCTCTCTCCAGTAGGGTGGTTTCCCAAACTGCTGATGTGAGAAAACAAAAAGGTGAAACGGCATATTAACTAAAACGGGATTGCCCACTCATGTTTTTTTGTTTTTGGTAGAGAATAATTGAATGTACTTTAACATAAATTTTTATATATTTTTAACTGATATATTTGAAATATTAATTAATATTTTTTTGTTAAATAAATAAATAATTAAAAAGGAAAAATTAACAAGTGAGAATTGATTGGTTTGTATAAAGAAACCTTTTCAAGGTAAAATTGCAAAAAAGATATAAAATTATATATAATATTTAGGTTTGTATTTAAAATAATTATTTCATAAAGATAAATTAAAAAAATAATACAACTAAAAAAATTAGTTGATAACTTTTGAATGCAAACTCTAAAAATTTACTTATCTTAAAAAATTATTTTATTTTAAAAAATAATTAAAATTTATAAGCTAATTTTGTTATTTTTTCAAACAAAATTAAATAATATTTTTTATATTTATTTTCAAATAATCAAAAAATAATTATTACTGGCTACTTGACTATTTTTAGATGATTTATAAAATTCAGTAATTAAAATTACATGATTTTCATTTTTTTAATCATTAACTTTTTTATATGTCATACATACATATATGTAATAACATATCAAGGCTATTTTGTGGTATACTGAGATTTTATGCCCTTGTATTTCAGTTCAACCAAGGTTTTTATTTTTTTTATCTCAATTTTTGTAGAGTTTGAAAATTAATTTTTATAGATGATGTTAAATAAAATTGATGGTATTGGTCAAGGATAATTTAGTTATGTAATAAAACTTATAATTTTAATATTGGAATGATGACTTATTTGTGAGCATTTTGTAAATATATGATAACTTTGTTTTATGTTATTTATATTATTGATTTGATGATTTTATTTATTATTATTATTATCTTGTGGTTTAGAGATCAAAAGTTGCCTTACTTGCAACTTTAAAAAAAAAAAGTATGAAAGATTGGTTCAAATTTGTCTACTAGAGAATTTTATAACTTTTGCTTTAAATAAATGTTAATTTGTAAGAATTTCTTCTAATTTTTTAATTCACTTAAAGTTATACATAAGAATTAAAAAAATAATTGGATAGTCTAAATTCACTAAATATTTTTTGTGATTTCTTAATATACCTTTATATAAAAGCTCTCTGAAAAAATAAAAAAAGAGTTTTGACAACAAAACCAAAAAGTAGACATAAACTTAAATAAGGTAGTAAGATATAATTATAGGTAATATTAGTAAAAAAAAAAAAAGTATATCTTAAATTTTGTAAGCAATTAAAAAATAAACGTGCTTAAAATTCTAAAACAACTAAGAAAAAAATGAAGAGAGTATTTGTTATTTTTAATTGATTTTTTATTGTTTTATAAAGTTTGATTATTAATTTTGAATACTGAGCACAAGGATTTTTTCTAAGTGTTGGAAGAAGTAAGCTTATTTGATTTTTTTTTAAAATTTATTTTCTTTATTTAATGATATATCCATTTTATTAATATTTTTTTTTATAAAATATTATTGTGCTTTGGTTTTGGCTCACGCCGGGGGGATCATATTATTGAAAGTGAATAAATAAATCGTCCCTCTCGGTGTTGATAAATATCGAACAGATTGTATTAGAGAGTTAATTATTTACATTTCTCGTTTAAAGATAGTGGATATTACTGAAAGTGAATAAATGAACCGTCCCCTCTCGTGTTGAGACAACTCAGTCAATTCGCTAATCAAATCTGTTAAACAGCAGAAAATCCGAAACTAATGATAGTGATGCTCCTGTTACAATTACGAGTTGTTGAGAAAATCCCAAACTCATCACAATGTCGCTTACTCAAGTTTCTTTTTCTTGTATACCTTGTTGCTGACTAAATGGAGCATCTTTATCTTGCACTGCTGATGCTTAATGTGATATTTTTAACAAATTTGTCCCTTACATATGAAATCATTCTGAGTAATCTTTGGCATCTAAAAGGTTGGCGGTGAATGGCATGTTTGGAGATTTGTGAACTTATCTTGCACCCTGTTAGGATTAAGCTTCCTTGATTTCGAGGATCAAGGGACCTCCTAGAAATAACGGAGAAGGAAAAGTGGAAATATTTTCTCTGCCTCATTCATTTATTCTTTTGGGTATTTAACACAGCTCACGTTGCCAATGATTGGCTACCCGTGATTCACGGAAACAGAAAGTATTATATACTGAAGGAATCTAATAACAGAAATACAACTCAGCAATAAAGGAAATACTGACAAAATAGACGGTACTAGATCAGTAAATAGAATTTCTATTTGGTGACAAAGTCACTAAGGTAACTTGGCAGCTTGTAGCCCCTTTTGGGCCTCTCCCTCGTGATACCTTCATTGGTGTTACTTGCTCCAACTGATGCAACGGTGTTTGGGCCAGAGTTTGTAGGGCCGTTGCTATCAATACCCACCGCTGCAGAAGACACCTTGTCCTCAAGGTGGTAATCAGCAACAAGATCATTCCAGAGTTCCCAAGTGGTATCTTTAGGGGCAAGGCCTTTCCATTGAACCAAAACAAGCTTGGAAGGTGGGGAAGTGGAAAGATCCATTTTGGTGTCAAGGATTGCAAGTGGCTCGATGATTGGCATATTATCCTGGGCAAGCGAGGGAAGTGTGGCCGGAACTGATGGAATGGGTCCCTTGTGCGACTTGAGAAGGGAGCAGTGGAACACAGGATGGATCGTTGAACTTGGTGGAAGGTCAAGGTGATAAGCAACAGGACCAATGCGAGTCGTGATGCAGAAGGGACCAAAATAACGCTTGGCCAATTTGGGGCAAGCAGGGGAATGGATTGAACGTTGCCTATAGGGACGGAGGCGAACATACACCCAATCTCCAACTTGGTAAGAAACATCTCTTCTCTGGCGATCAACGATCAATTTCATGGTCAGTTGGGCCTTTTCAAACTTCTTACGTAATAATGCAATAAGATCCTGGCGAGTGGTGAGAAGTGAGTCAACTGCCTCGACAGTGGAAGAACCAGTTAAATAAAAAGGAATGGAGGGAGGAGGCTTGCCGAAAGTAATTTGGAATGGAGTAAAACCAGTAGCAGAGTGAGTGGAAGTGTTGTAGGACCACTCGGCAAGCGAAATATAGCGACCCCAATGAGATGGTTGAGCATGCACGAAAGAACGAAGGTATTGTTCTAAGGTGCGATTGAGGACTTCAGTCTGTCCATCCGTTTCAGGATGATAAGAGGTGCTCATGCGCAATTTAGTTCCACATAGACGAAATAGTTCGCGCCAGAATCTACTTATAAAAACCGGATCTCTGTCTGAAACTAGGCTGCGGGGACACCATGGTGTTTGCATACCATATCCAGAAATAATTGAGCCACTTTAAATGCAGTAAAATGAGTAGGAAGGGTACCAAAATGAGCTCCCTTAGAAAAACGGTCAACGACAACAAGTATGACGGTATGACCCAAGGAAAGAGGTAACCCAGTGATAAAATCGAGTGAGAGATCCTCCCAAGTGTCTTGGGGAAGAGGAAGGGGCTGTAGCAACCCTGCTGGTTTCTGAGTTTCATACTTAGTTTGCTGACAAATCGAGCACTGAGAGACATAAGTGTGAATAGTGGTGCGCATTCCCTTCCAGTAAAAATTACCCTGAATCCGAGCCAAGGTTTTTGAAACACCCATGTGACCTCCCAATGGGGTAGTGTGAAACTCCTCGAGAAGAAGAGGGATAAGGGGATTGTCCTGATTCAACCAAAGTTTGCCATCATATAGTAAAAGATCATTGTGGATACTGTAGAAGGGAAAAGCAGCAGGATTGGCACGCACTTCAGCTAGCAATGAGACAAAATCAGAACTATCATGAAGGGACTTTCGCAACTGATCCAAGAAAATGAACCTAGGCATAGATAGGATGAAAAATTGACCCTGTTCAGGCTCAGTTGGGCGTGAGAGAGTGTCAGCGACTACGTTATGTTTTCCTGCCCTATACTGTATAGTATAATCATACCCCAACAACTTGGAGAGATAAACTTGCTGATCGGGGGTTTGAATGACCTAAGTCATCAATGCTTTTAGGCTACGATGATCTGTGAGTATAACAAAAGGATGGCCCAATAAGTATTGCCACCATTTCTTAACGGCGGAAGTTATAGCATGCAATTCCCTGACATAATTGGAAGAACGCAGTAGCCTAGGGCAGAAAGGCTTACTAAAAAATGCAATGGGGTGGTCACGCTGCATCAACACAGCACCCATAGCGCATCCAGAGGCGTCAGTTTCAAGCTAAAATGGAAGGTTGAAATCCGGAAGGGCCAATACCGGAGCTGCTATCATAGGATTCTTGAGCTTGTCAAAGGCTGATTGAGAGACAGAACACCAGAGGAAACTGTCCTTTTTTAACAGAGCAGTTAATGGCGTAGCCAATGAAGCATACCCCTTAATAAAACGTCGATAGAACCCTGTCAAACCAAGGAAACCACGCAAAGCCTTGATTGAGTTAGGGGGTGGCCAATTCACCATTGCCTCTATTTTTGAAGGATCTGCAGCAACTCCATGAGCGGAAACAATATGGCCCAAGTATTCAAGTTGCTGTTGTGCAAAAACGCATTTGGATCCTTTAAGGAAGAACTGTCCCTCAATCAAAATTTGGAGAGTACTCTCCAAATGTAGTAAATGAGCTTCGAATGAAGTGCTATAAACCAAGATATCGTCAAAAAAAACGATAACAAATTTGCGGAGGAAGGGTTTCAACAAATCATTCATGGTAGCCTGAAAGGTAAAATGGGCGTTACAAAGGCCAAAAGGCATGACCTTGTACTCATAATGTGCGGAAAGCGATTTTCTGAATATCAGCTTCAGACATACGGATTTGGTGAAAACCCTGGCAAAGATCGAGTTTGGAGAACCATTTGGCACCACCCAATTCATCCAAGAGTTCATCTATCGTGGGTAAGGGGAATCGATCCTTCACTGAGATAGAATTGAGAGCCCTAAAATCCACACAGAACTGCCAGCTGCCATCTTTTTTTTTGACAAGGAGAACAGGGGAAGAGAAAGGGCTGTGGCTAGGTTGGATCAACCCTGCTTGAAGCATTTCATCAATTTGCTTTTCGATTTCACACTTCTGAAAGTGGGGGTATCGGTAAGGGCGTACATTGACGGGAGAGGCATTTGGTAAGAGATGAATGTGGTGGTCTGTGGGGCGTGGAGGTGGTAATGTAGTGGGGGGATGGAAAAGGGATTGATATTGGAGGATCAGAGAAGAGATAAGGGGATTGTGATGAGAAGGAGGAGTAACAGTGGGGGTGGTGTTAAGGGTAGTAGAGGAAGGTAAAATTTGGATGTGAAAATAAGCCGCACCTGAGTTGGTTTGAAAAATACGCTTTAGTTGGTGGGCTGAAATGTCTTGCAGCCTAGATGAAGCATCAGCTTTTAATTCAATCATTCGGCCCTTCTTAATAAAACGCATGGTCATATTAGAGTAGTCTGTCACAATAGGGCCCAAAAGTTTGAGCCACTGGATGCCCAATACGACGTCTGCTCCACTAATGGGTAGGACATGTAGATCCACATCGAAAGAATGGCCCTGAATCCAGACCGGAACAGCTGGACAAAAATGGTGACACTCGATGATGCTACCGTTGCCAACCATCACCTTGAGAGTGGAAGTGGGTTGCATCAGTAGGTTAAGAAATTTAGCCACACGGTCTTGAATGAAGTTATGAGTGCTTCCACCATCCACAAGAATAGTTACCTGCTTCTTTGAAATAAGGCCCAAAAGACGCAAGGCTTCTGGTGCAGGGAGCCCAGAAAGTGCATTAAAGCTAATTTGGGTTGAAGGGAGCTCTGTCGGTTCAGTCTCTGAAGGAAGTGGATCTGGGTCAGGATCCACAAGAGAGGTAGAGGGGAAAGTTGTATCATCATCTGTTGCCTCAGCGACTAAGAGGAAAAAACGAGCTTTGGACTTGTGTCCAGGGTGGAACTTTTCGTCGCAATTATAGCATAACCCCTTCTCGCGTCGGGAGAGCATTTCCTCATGAGTGAGCTTCTTGTAATTGGTCCTGGGAGGGGTAGGGAGTAATGGAGGAAGGGGACGGCTCATTGACGGCAAGGGAGAAGGAGTGGAGGAAAACGATGGTGGCGAGAACGGAAAACGATTCCGTGAGCCTTTGCGCAGATCATGAAACTTGTCCTCTTGCAATTTAGCCAAAGCTGCAGCCTGAGTAAAGGTGAGTGGTTGTAATGCTAAAACCTCCCGTTTAATTTCAGGGGAGAGAGCTAAAACAAAGCAGCTTAAGAGAAAGGAGGGAGGAAGACCAACAACACGACTGGCTAACCTCTCAAACTCAGTCAGGTAGTCATTGACAGAGCCTTTCTGGGTGAGTTTGAAAAGGAGACCACGAGGATCTTCGTAGTAGGACGGAGCAAAGCGGGTCTCAAGGGCTTGGAGGAAGCTAGGCCAGGACTGAACCAAGCCATTGTGGTGCACCCACTGAAACCAGCTGAGGGCGGCACCGTCCATGTAAAATGAAGCGACCTTGAGGCGATCCTCTTCGGGTGTGGAATGGTACTCAAAAAATTGGGTTATCTTGAAAATCCAACCCGTAGCATCGTGCCCATCAAACCGAGGAACGTCCAGTTTCATGTGGGGTTTGAGGAAGGTGGAAGAGGTAGAGTTGGAGTGGGGGGAGGGAGGTTGAGGAGGGTTGGAAAGGTCGATTTGAGAAAGTTGGGTGAGGATGGAATCAAGCTTAGTGTTAAGCTCGTTTTGGGAGTTGGTGAGGAGAGATTGGTTTTGGGTGAGGCGAAGGATGGCATCGTCGATGGCCTTGGATCGGGTATTGTGTTCAGCCATGGATGGTTTTGGGAAGGTGTGCAATGAAAGCACCAAATTGTTAGGATTAAGCTTCCTTGATTTCGAGGATCAAGGGACCTCCTAGAAATAACGGAGAAGGAAAAGTGGAAATATTTTCTCTGCCTCATTCATTCATTCTTTTGGGTATTTAACACAGCTCACGTTGCCAATGATTGGCTACCCGTGATTCACGGAAACAGAAAGTATTACATACTGAAGGAATCTAATAACAGAAATACAACTCAGCAATAAAGGAAATACTGACAAAATAAACGGTACTAGATCAGTAAATAGAATTTCTATTTGGTGACAAAGTCACTAAGGTAACTTGGCAGCTTGTAACCCCTTTTGGACCTCTCCCTCGTGATACCTTCATTGGTGTTACTTGCTCCAGCTGATGCAACGGTGTTTGGGCCAGAGTTTGTAGGGCCGTTGCTATCACACCCTCACTAGTGCAGTAATTTTCATAGTTTAATATGCAACATTAATCAAATGCGGTTTGGATGATAACCTTAGTTATTTACCAAATCGAGTTGGCATCAAATTTACTAACAAATAACCCTACAAGTTATAATTTATTGTTGAATAATGATTTAGCGTCATTTAAGTAAATTTCTAAATACACAATTAGGGCACAAGTAACTCCAAAGGGTTTCTTCCTCTCTCGAGGTAAAACAGAATAAATAAATGAAGACGTGAAGAACATTATCAACTAGTTCTAGAGAAAAAAAACATGAAACCACCAACTGTATTATACTGTTAAGAAAGTACCATATACGAAGAGTCAAACCCCGTTAGTTGAATTCAAACGGCGTCCAATCTCAAAGGAAACAAAGGCATCAAGAGAAGCATACTGAACCTGCTCCGTAGTTAAGCGTAGATTATCCCATTTACTCCTTGTGATCTTCTTGGACTTCTCAATCTCGAGGCCCAGAACGCGGAGGCCCAATCTCCTCAGCCCAGCGTTCTTCATCTCAGGGTCACCAAGCTTCTCAACAGCGAGGGAGCGAAGGTCAACGAAGTTAGCTACGCCGAGGGAGTAGAATTCTAGAAGCTTCTGCACGTCCTCTTCGATCCCAACACCAACAAAAGTGTGGTTGGCGTCACTGAGAAAGGAAATGAGAGAGCGAGGGATAAAAGGCGCGTGGAGGATCTGAAACACGACGCAGCGACACCCCACACAGAGTTGGAGGGTGGCTACGGGGTTGTTCATGTTGCGGTGGGTGTTGGGGCGCCACTCCACGTCGAGACCGACGATCAGGCTGCGGCGGCGACGATGGTGGAGACGGCGGATGTCGGAGAGCCAGGAGTCGACGAGGGAAGGGGTGGAGGTGAGAAGGGTGAAAATGGTGTGGGAGTGGAAAGCAACGTGGTAAAGGTTTTGGTCCACCATGGTGATATGAGACGCGGGGTTAGGGTTGTAGTTTCTGATGTTGGTGGCCATGGTGTTTTGGTCTACCAGTGTTACGACCATTGTAGGTGAAGAATGAAGAGTAGAGACAATGAGTGGCTTCGGATTTTGGCATTTTGGAGGGCGTGACGAAGAATAAATAAGCGTGATGGTTGATTTTGATCAAGAGAAACCACTCTCTCCTCCAATAAAATGCGTTCCCTCTTTGTTTTTGAATTTTTTTTTCTAAATATAAATAAAATTTTAAGCGATCTTCATTCTACTCTTCTCTCCGTTATGAAAGGCCACCTGACCCTTCGAATCCTTCCATATCTTTTTCTTTATTTTATTATACTTTAATTTTTTTAATGTTTAAATAATATTAGTATTGTATTAAATTTAAATTTTTTTAATTTGTTTATATGCATGTCTAAAAAATAACACAAAAAATAACTTTTAATTATTCCGTTTTATTGTTAAACAAACGTTTTCATGTTTATTAATTTGAATACACACTCTTGTTTGTAAAAATATTTGATTCAATTTAATTTTTATGTAAAAGTTAATCCTTAATCTCCAAAACTTACAAATATAATTGATTCTTTTATCGTTCTCTTTTTGTCTCTAATATATAATTAATTCCTTTAAAAGTAAGAGTAAATCTATTTAATTCCTAAAAAATTCATTGGTAACTCAAATCAGTGAATTTATTTATTTTTAACACAACTCACGTTTATAATTTTGAGAGATTATTAACAAATTTTTTTGGTGATGATATCGAATATTTATTTGTTTTTATTGATTCAATATAAACTTTCCTTTCTTTAATATAGCACAAGATAGAGGAAGCAAAATGAACTTTACATGACAGGTTGATATATTTAATCCACCTTAAAGTATATTTAGGTTAAGTTGGGCTTATTCACGGGTCATCTCCTTTCCCACTCTGACTCATCAAAACGCAAGAAGACAATGCATGGGTAGGTTCACACCTCATGCAATTTATTTATTTATTTATTTATTTATATATATATATATATATATATATATATAAGTATTAATTAATTACTAGTTTATTTTGACATAAATTTATTAAAATGACAATATTTTTAATAATTTTTATCTTTTAAATGATTTTTTTGGTAAGTCAGGCCAATACAAGAAAATATGTGGCTTTATCTGCAGTTATTTTTATCGTTAATGAGCGTGTTAATGTCATTACCCGTTGTTGATAATATAATGAATAATCCAAACATTACGAACATATTAGTTACAGTTTTTGAACCACTGTTTAATACCTGTGGTTTTCAATTTTTGCAATTTCTAAACTCTCGTTAAATAACCAATTGTAAATCAAAAATATTTATATTTACCTGCAATTTATAATCGGTATATTTGGGAGGAGATTTTTAGAAGAGAAAGATATATTTTTTATTTTTAAATTAAAGGAATTATATATTATTTATAATAATAAATATATTATTAATATATTAAATTTTTGTTAATATATTAATTTATATCTTTTATTTTTTAAAACTATTAATTTTAAATATATTTATGTCATCTCCTCCTCTCCAAAACTCCCTTTTTCCAAATAGCCCCTAAATAAATTTGTTTCTCGTGGATTTTAAACCCTGTTACTTGCTAGCAATTCTAAAACTCCCATTAATTTGCCTGTGATTTTAGAACCTCCCATTAATTATTTAATTAGAGTTTCAAAATCTTCAATGATGCATTTACCCATGAGCTAAACCATTTTGTTTTGGATCGAACTTGGCAAAGTTAAGATAAATTAGGATGGATTAACTCACTTTATCACTTTTGATACATGAAATAAAATAGTTAATTTCTTAAATATCACTTTAGTTATTAAAAATTTATTTATTGATAATTTCAACAATAAATTATTTTCTTTTAGGTGTTAGTTTAGTAGTATATCTTTGGATAATTTGAGTTCCATCCAACGTAATTCGCAAAACATCATACTATGCCTAAAAAATTCAGAGGGAAGTATATGTTTACTCTTTATAACATTATTAAATTTTGACTTTAATTCGTGTCTTTTTAAGTTTTCACAAAATACAAAAGTTATGTACTTTTAGTTTCTAATGAGAGTATATATATATATATATATATATATATATATATATATATATATATATATATATATATGGGTTTAAAATAAATACAATTAAGTAAAGATAAAAATCAAAATTTACTAATTTTAGATGGGCTAAAACATATATAACCTACAAAGTTAAAGAATGTTTACAGATCTCATTATTTTATCATGGGTTGATTATTTTGTGTTTATGAATAACTTGAAGGGTTGATATAGTAATATAAGACTTATTGGGGTCATATTTGTAAGATTGATTGATTTAATAATAAATTCTATCATTTGCAAAATTTCCTGAGCTCAATGATAGTCATCAATCAAAAAGAAAATAGTGTTTATACATGAATATGTCATAATAAAAACTTGTAAAAATATATTAAATGTCTAAATATATAGTGACTTGGAGGTCGAAGATTAAGAAATGAGTTATTTATTAGCCAAACATTATATTCTTTTTATGGCTAGATCCAATCTCTTAGTCCTTCTGGAAAGGAAAAAAAATTTCATGTTCTTCCTTTTAGGAAGGAAAGATTTGAAAAATCCTATTGATTGCAATTTTCTCTAAACCCCGTGAAAAGCATGAAAAAAAGGCTTGAATGGTACGATCCTGCCATCACCCCAGAATGAAATGGGCAATCTCATAATTCTTGGTCTGTGAAGATACATTGTTAGGTGCTTTGTTTTACTTTTTCCATTGAGGCTGAACCTAAACCTGAGCTCGAGAGATAATTGTCTATATACTAATAAGGGATATATGAATTCTTCAGAAGAGAGGAGTCGTGGTGGTCCCTAGACTGCTCGAATCCCACGAGTGAAGAGAAAGTTAGATCTACATTGAATCTTACTTGAATCACCCCATCTATCCTTATGAGGAGAAATTTGGTTTCAAACCTCGATTCAAACAAGAGAAGTACGTCATGTTAATGTGCCTTGGATGATCCACATCTCAGGGTCACGCGTTGATGATCACATTGAACTATTCATGTGGTTGAGAGCTCTCACAGTCCAAGCACAATGACATAATTATCAGGGGTGCGCTTTACCACTAAGCTAATAGCTCGTCATGCGAGCCTCCCGCTATGGGTTGCGATGCCAAAAGCGAGAGAAACTCCATCCTACTTTTTTCTTTTTTTTTCTTTTTTCTTTACCGCCATGTTGCCTCTATATGGTGACATGGGAGTGAAAAAAAGATAGCTTCTATCAACTTGTTCCAACCTAAGATAATAAGCTCATGAGTTTAGTTTTACTTTACTATTGAAAAACGAAAAAAAGACTTCCATCTCTAAATTTAACTTAGACATAACTCACTTCTTTTTAGGTGTGAAATAGTGTGAAACCAAACTACTCAACAAGCATTAATTATCCCCAAAAAGGAGGTGATCTAGCCATATCTTTCAATTCGGCTACCTTGTTACGACTTTACCCTAGTCACTAACCATGCTTTCAGCATCCTCTCCTTACAGTTAAGTTAACGAATTAGAATCTAGTCCTATTTGTACATAAATTAACTTAATTACGGTTGATAACTTGCTCTAAGACTTAACAATTTTTTATTATTTCTTTATAAGTAATTATATCGGAATATATTTTCAATTAATTTAAGCTCTTCCAACCTTCAAACTAAAATTTTTAACAAACTCATCAAAATGTTACCCTCTTTTCGATATGAAACGAAGCTCTTCATTCCATTTTAGCAAAAATATGTCAAAATATGATTTTTTTTATTTTTTTTTACAAAACTCTAAATTTTGAGTTATTTTTATTTGGTAACAATTAATTGAAATGGAAAGCTTAAGAATACATCAATTCTAGTAAAAATATATTCATAATAAACAATTTTTGAGATGTAATTGAGCTTTCAAAAAGTATAGCTCATTTATCTACCTCAAACACTAACAACAAGGTTTCATAACTTAAGAAAATTTATTTTCTCCCAAACAATCACTTAAAGAAAAACCTCTTTTAAAAAGATACAAATAAAAAGTTATTATTCTTCAAAAGAAGCTACCCATAATCACAACGATTTGTTTTTTCATTATCAACATGAACAATGAAAAAACGTGAACAGAACTCTAAGCAAACACGTACGAGAGAAGGGATTCTATTGCTGAGCAAGAGAAGTTCATGAGATAACCGTAATCCGCACGCTCCCTTGCCGATGGAGAAATCACTGTTCAATCAATAGATGAATTTCTTGAAACTTCAATACTGATGAAAAATCATCATCGGTGGTAGTGTTGAAGGAAGAAGGAACGAGGAGGTTGATCCAATGAATGTTGAACCAGTTCTCATTTTCTTCCATTGAAATAGTAGCAACGAGCTAAAACCCTAGCGCAATTTCAAAATTTGTAGGGGATGAAAATAAAAATAATAAAGAAAGGCACATTTTGTATATAAAGTTTTAAAAATGTTTGTGGTGGTTCAACTGTCAGCAAATGAAATCAAAGCATTGAAAAAATGTATTAATATATGGCATTCACCCCGTTGTAAAAAATTTGCTTGAATATTGGTAGCTTACTTTTGACCCCCATTAACCAATGGCCAGTGAACCCTTTATTTTTGTAATGAGAAGAAAAAACTATTTCAAATGAATAAATCATAATCAGACATTTTAAATATGGCAAACTTAAATTTAATAAAACTTAACCTAACCTAACATTTTATAACTTATTTAGAAATTAATATTATTATGTTTTCTTAATAATTTTTTATTTTTTTATAAAATAAATATTAAATCATATATATAATAGAAAAAATATAAAAACATTTAACGATTAATAGAATTTATAACTAGAGTATCTCTTCTTACGAAAGTAAGTTTCCAGTCAACTCAACTATTCCTAAATTTAAAGATCCTAAGCTCACAATTAATTTGACCAAATATGAACTATTGTGCTAAATAAATAAATAAAAGATTGTTCTTTAATTATTAACGTTTTTTTTTAAAACTAGCATTGATAAATATAATTTTTTAATATAAATTATATTATTAATATAAATGTTTTAAATTTTTTACAAACAATATAATTTGTTATATTAGTGTTTACAGTAAAATTTACAATTAGTAAATAAATAAATTCAAGAGTAACTTGAGATTAAATTTTAAAATCTTTTCATATTCCTTTAAGTATGTTTTTAGTCATGATAATGAAATCAACATTGTAAAGTAAAAATAAAAGTAAAAAGAATAGAAGCAAAATGATACAATATTGACATAAACATAGAAATTACATAAACAAATTTGGATTGAAATAAATTATAATAAACGTACAACTTTCAGTCACGATCAATACAAATTTGTTGATCTCTAATTCGTTGGGTCTAGCTGATGTGTAAAACTATATTTTAGGTAGTATGTATATAAAAATCGTAGCTCCTAAAATATAAAATTTAGTCCTAGTTATACACAATTTAAACTTAATTGCTTCTCTTTTCGCACATAAGTATTTTTTGTAACTTTTTTCTATACATTTTTTTTGTAACAGTTTCTGTGTTCTTGCACACGATGCTCCCTGTGTCTTAATCTTTAACTAGTAATAACTGTTGATAATTGTTGGGTAACTTCTGAAAAACTGCTTCAAGATTGATACTTTTCATATAATTTCTCTTTTTTTTTACCTCCCTTTGTCACTTAATGAAGAAATAGATCAAAGAATCTCTTTTTTCTGTGTACTATTTTATCTCCCTCAATCTTGCAATCTAAATCATAAAAAACTCTTCAAAATAATACTCTCTTTTTTACCAAAAAAATAAAGCTTTACCATATACTCTTGTGAATAACATATCAAAATATGGTTTATTTTGATGTCTTTTTATTTGGCAATGATTAATCAAAATGCAGAACCCTAAGATTATATCAATTCTAGTCAAAATATTTTTCTTAATCAATAATTTTCAAGATGTACTCGAACTTTTAGAAAGTATAACTCATTCATTTATCTCAATTTATGGTAATAAGATTTCATAATTTACGAAAATTTTGCTTCTCCCAAACAATTAGTATAGAATATTAGAATATCTTTGGAAGGAGAATTTTGAAGGGAAAACATTTTTTTTTAATTTTTAATTAAAATAATTATATATTATTTATGATGACAAATATATTATTAATATTTTTTTAATATATTAATTTATATATTTTATTTTTAAAAAATTAATTTTAAATATATTTATTTAAAATATAAATTTATGTCCTCTCTTCCAAAATTTCCTTTCCAAACAACCCGTTAATATATTTTATTAATACATAAATATTAAGTAAAAAATCATTTTAATCCTTTAAATTAAAAATTTCCACTAATTTAATTCTTAACTTTAAATTATAACATAATATTTATTTTAATCCATTTTAATATAAATGATAATAAAAAAAATGAAAAAGACTAAAGTAACTATTTTTTAAAATTAAAGATACGTGAGATTTTTATAAAATAAAAGATTAAAATAATTAATATTTATAATTCAAAGAATTAAAATGAATATTTTCGTTATAAATATTAGTATATTTGAAATTTTTGGTAATAACTTAACTTTTATTAGATAAGTTTATACTATCAAATATTATCATGATATTAGTTTTTTTGGTTAATAAATGATAATAAATTTAATATATAATATTTTAGTATCTTTTTAAATAGGTTTAATTATTAATGCACTGTTGATTAAATTATTTCTCTAAAAGCAAAGGCAGAAACAAACAAACATCCAGGCAAAGTCGAAAAAATAAAAGAAAAAAAAATCCACTTTTATGCATTGTACTATACTATATTCCAACATGATCGAATTCAGTCTATAACTTGATCAATTTTGAAGAAAACCTCTCAATTATTGAGCTAAAAAGGCTTTTACTAAAGAAGTTAACTCGAAAGGCAATAAAGGTGTGATAATTGATCTAATATTTTAAAAAATTGTGTAATAATTGGTCTCATTCATCCTCCAATCCATATCCTCCCACTCAAAACATATTTTTTTTCTTTAGTTTCATTGTTTGTTTTTATGTATACAAACTAATTACGTCAACATAGAGTTTTCACCTGTGTAAAATTAATTCAGTACTAAAAAGATTATAAAATTTAAAAATATATTAGAAGGGTATTAATAATATAAAGATGATCCTTAGCACAAATGTGAAATAAGTGCAATTCTATCTTTGTCTCCTCTCCTGCACTATTTTGTGATATAAAGAGGCATTATTTGGATTCTATGTTTAAAAAAATAGAAAAGAAAAAAAAGGAATTAATAATTACTAACCTTTTTTAAAAATTAATTAGATATAAGAAGAAGAGTTAAAAAAAAATTTCTAAACATAAAAAACTCTCCTAACATTGTATTTTGTAGTAGAAGTTTGAGGAGTTTAACCTTCTCTTATCTTCTTCTTTTAAATCTTTTAAACCTTTTCTTTCTTTTTTCTGTCTAAACTCTTAAACAAAATCTGTCGACTTAAATAAATAAATAAAATTTTTTATACACCGATTTCTTTTTTGTCGTTGCTTATGGAAAAAGGAAAATGTTAGATATATGTCAATATCTTTTGGAAAAAACAATTGGCGTGGTGGGGATGAAGTTTTGGGTCAAGTAAACTATTCGTCAACGCGAAGGTCTTAAGTGATTAGATAAGCACATTGATGATTCCTTACGCTGTAAGTAGACGGAAACAAGTGCGCAATTTTCTCAATCAAATCAACTTTTGTCCATACCTTTTAGTGCGTAACTTTTCCTTTTTTACATTTCATTTTATTTCATGATGCATCGAAATAAACTTCGAAAATAAAATGTTTTTCTTTTGATTTTGTTGACTTATTTTTAAATTTATTTTAACTTTTTAAGAAAATTCTCCTGTTTTTCTACATTTTATCTGGTTTAAAATTTTTTTCTCTGTACACACTCATTTTCATATTAAAGAATTATATTTTTAAAATTTTTAAAAAATTATTTAAGAGATCGTTTAAAGAAAAACTTATATATAATCTTTTTTCTTTAATTAAAATTAAAAATTAGTATCTATTTTTCATACCAAATTTTATCATGTTGATTATCAAAGCAAAATTGTAATTTAATTAAAGAATAGCATTTAAATTTACATTTTATTTATAAGGTAAACAATCTATCACAATTTATTGTATAATTTTGACACTTGAAAATTAATTTATATTTTTTATTGTAATATTTTATAATAAATAAAAATAAAATATTTATTATTCGAATCTTTTTTTCTATTTTCATTATTCAAATTTTAAATATTATATTGTCATATAATTTTAATGATTATATTAAAATATAATGATATTATTTAAAATTAATAAATAATTTTTGTAATTTGTCCTAAATCATCTAATACTTTTTTAATTTGTTTCAACTGTAAGTTTTAGTTTAGTTTCATACATAATTTTTTTTATGGTTATTATATGAAATAATTTTGTTTATTTGATCCTTATGATTTAATTTTTTTATATGAAGAGTGATATAAAAAAATGTTATCTATAAGAATCACAATAAAAATGTGTTATATATAAAGATAAAAATAAAAAATATATAAATATGAAGTGTTATAACTGAATTTAACGGTAGAAATCGCTCTTTTAAAACTCATTTATAAACTTTTTTCTATATAAACTAAATAAAAAAAAATACATATTTTATATAGAGACTAACATAATATTTAAATTATTTTTTATAAAAAAATTAAAAAATATTAATGATGTTCCAATTATGAATTATAACATTAATAAAAATTATTAATTTTTACAATAATCACTTTAAAATTTATATTTATTATATATTTTAATTATTTAATAGTATAACTTTTTTACTCATGGTATGTAAAAATTAATTTTTTTCAGTATATCTATTTAATTATTACAAAATAAAATTGAACGTATTGTTGTTTAAATTATATTTCTAAAAAATAAGAACAGAAAAAACAAACTAAAGGGCAAAGTATAAAATGACCGGGAAAAAGAAAAGAAAAACACAAAGCGAAAGCTTCCACTTTAAAAAGTAAACACTTGATAAGCAAATTTTGACAAGGGTGGGTGTTGTGTGAGTGATTGCCAAGTGACTTGGTGTTGTGGGTTGGTACAATGGCTGCAACACCATCTTCATCTGATGAACAAATTCACCCCTTGAAAGTTTTGGTGGACAAACAGACAAACAAAGTTCTATTTGCTGAGGCAGATAAGGATTTTGTCGATGTTCTATTGAGTTTCTTAACACTGCCTTTGGGTACAATTGCTAGACTTGTAGCTAAGGAATCAAATATAGAAGCAGTGAGAGTTGGTAGCTTGAGCTCATTGTATGAAAGTGTGGCACATCTTGAAGAAGAGCATTTATGTACACCCACTTGCAAAGAAATGCTATTGCAGCCAAGGAACTCCATGGAAGCTTATTGCCAACAACTGAGGCTCAACATCGATGACACTGACCCCACAAAGTTCTTCCTTTGTGAGAATTTGGAGTGTAATAGGAAGTGTAAAGGTCTTGTGAGCTTATTCAGGAATCAAAGATGCAGTTGTGGGAAACTAATGAACACAGTATTGACCCCAAAAAACATCATTTTAGAAAAAGGGTTTGTTAAGGAAACTGCCACTTTTATTGTTTCTGACGATCTTTATATAACGCCAAATGTTTTTGGAGCAAGTGTAAATCTCTTTCAGAAGCTTGGAATTGAATACATGGAGACTGTTGAAGAACAAATTGTAGATATCACTAAGAAGGAGGTAAGCTTTTTAGCTTTTAGTTCTTTTTTGCTTTTTCTGAGTTTTGTGAACTTGGATCCAAAGATTAGTTTAAGAATTCAAATGTTCTAACAAAATTTTATCATTATTAATTGCTTAAATTCTGTTAATATTTGAGATGTAGGTAGTGGACTTGCTCAAGTTTTCATTGATCTCAGAGACGCCTATGACAGACTTCGTCTTAAAAAAAGAACTTTGCCTTGATAATTTTATCCCAATAAACCAATACCAGTTTAAGACTGGAGAAGTTCCATCTGATGAGGGTAGGAAAATGGTTGTGAAAGTACAGTTAAGAAAATCTGATGGCAAGATTGTGTTTGCTGAAGCCAATGAAGATTTTGCAAACTTTCTATATAGTTTTCTCACTTTCCCTTTGGGTGGAGTGTTGCACATGCTGAAAGGATCCTCCTCTTTGAGTTGCATAGATAAATTATACAAGAGCATGACTGAATTGAGTTCAGACAGATATTTAAACTCACAAGAACTAAAAGAAAAACTTGCTAACCCTCTCTGTGCTCCACAGTTTAATCTTAGCAACCAGATATTACCAATTGGGGCAAAAGAGTTGCCTACATATTATTTCAATTCTTCTAAAGGACACAATCTTTCTCTTTTTACATTACCCAAGTCTGTATCTAATTATGGTGAAAGGAATGCACCATTGAATATTGTTGATCCAAGGTCCCCTGCTGGAAAATCATCAGATTCTCAAGGATTTGCCAAAGAACCATCAATGTACATGGTGACCGATGACTTGGTTGTGACTCCAATGTCATCCATTTCTGCTGTTTCATATCTGAATAGATTAAGAGTACCACTCTTTGACTTGGAGGAAAGGGTCATCACCATTGGTGTGAAGGAGGTAAGAAATTGTGTGAGACTTCTTTATGCTTAATCATTCATGGCATATCATTATTTATCTTTGTATCAGATTACATTACACTCTTTGATTGCATGGTGCAGGGTCTTGGCATACTGAAAGCTTCATTGACATCAACATCTGCTTTGACAAACGGTCTCAAGCACTTAACAAAGGAAAGTGATTTTTGTATTACTTTAGGGGACGCTTTTAAGGGTCCTTCACATATCTGGGATGGATTTTTAGGATACTTGTATTCAAAAAGAAAATAAAAAATATAAATAATTATATAGAGTATTACTCTGTATATCAACTTTTAGTGTTTTGAATATCAGAATTGCTACATAAAAGCCATTAAGGAGGAGAATGAATCAATCACTTCCATCTTGGCCGAAGTTACAGAATCGTGGGTACTACAGAATAAACTTTTTGCATATGTTAGAGCTCTTGGTATTGTAATGTAATGCTTTATATTTGTTGATGTACTATGCTTTATCTAAATATACAAAATACACTATTTGCATATTAGCTCTTGGTATTGTAATGTAATGTAATAAATATTGGGAATGCTCCCAGTGGTTTGTTTTCCATTGTCGATAAGTTTCTGTCAGGTCAGGCTTGTGATGTGAATAGCAATTCCTCTTGATTTAATTATTGTATTTACTCTTTTTATTTATCAAATTTAAAACACTCATATAATAATTTTTCAACTAGTTATTAAAAAAGTATCTTAATTTAATAACACTCGTATGATTTTCTAGTTTTATTAATTTATTTAAATTAAACATTATAAATAAATTGATAACTTAATTTGTTTGAGGCGGTTATGAAAATTTGGTATTTTATTTTTAAATAAAAATTTATAAAAAAATTGTTTTTAACTAAAATAGAGTTGAATTGATTTTTCAGTTAATTTTAAAATAGTTTTATTTTAATTTTTAAAATTATTATTACTATAAGTAGTTACCCTCAATTACTGTTCTGTTTTACTAATCAATAATCATTGTTATCATGTTTGTCATTATTACTAGTGTCATTATAATATTTATCATTATTATTATTTGTTTTATTTCTACCCCAACAAGTTCACTGTTACTAACAACTTCACTATCATCATCCTCTTTAGTATCACACTATCACCAAATAAACTTATATGAAAAGTAAGAAGTAATTCATGAATTTAAGATTTATTGTTAAATTTTAATACTAAAAAAAATTATAACTAAAATTAATAAAATTACAAACTAGTTTTGGCTTTTGAAATTTCAAAACTTAAAAGTAACAGCACTTTGAATGGTATAAAAGATAAAAGTTATAATTTCAAAATCAAATAAGTTTGATTTGAGAAGAAAAAGTGGTTTTATGTAATTTAAATTTGGAATTTATTGTTAATTTTATTATATCTTTTTTAATAATTTTCTTATTTTTTATAAAATATCATATGTATAATATTAAAAATATTTAGCGATTAATAGGATTTATAATAAGAACATACCTTTCTGTGAAAGTAAGTTTGGTGTGAACTCAACAATTCCTTAATTAAAGATCCTATGTAAGTATAGGCATGAGATAAACTAACAATTGTTTGATCAAATATGAACTAATCGTGCCAAATAAGTAAAAATATATTATTGTTTAATTATTAATGATTATTTTTTTATTAACATTCATTAGTATAATTATTTAATAAAAATTACATTATTAATATAAAATTTTAAAGTTTTTATCAACAATATGATTGGTTATGTTAACAAATAATTTTATCAGTAAAAAGAAAATAGTTCATATTATTAATACATAAATATTAAGTAAATAGTTATTTAAAAATTTTAAATTATAAGTATCAACCACTTGAATTTTTAACATTATAAATATTTCATTTTAAACTTTGACTTTACAAAATAAAATTTATTTTAAACATTTTAATACAAAATGACAATAAAAAAATAAAAAATGTTTTTTTAAATTAAACAATAAGGTGAGATTTTTACAAAGTTAATGATGATTATAATTTGAAAAAAAAAACATTTACTCTACAAATATTAGCATATTATATTATTTTTTTGGAATACCAATTTAAAATTTTTAGTAATAATTTAAATTTTGTTAAAATAATTTAAACTCACAAATATTATTTTTATTTGTTAATAAATGATAACAAATTTTATTATATGTTTTTTTTGTATTTTCAAAATATCAGTTTAATTATCAAAAAAATTTAGCATATATATTTTTTTAATTTTTAATCGATGTCATCTTACTAGCTTTTAAATAACCATAAATTTTTTTATCAATAATTTTAAGGCTTATTTGGTGGACTGAATAGGATCATAATAAATAAAATAAAAAGGTTGTATAAGAGTATAATAAGATAAAGATAAGTTTTTATTATATTTAATATTTATTACAGTCTTGATAGAAAAAAGAATATAACATAAATATACAAAAAAATAATAAAATTACTCTACGTTTACTAAATTAAATTTTAATTATTTACTTTATATAATTTATTTATTTTTATTTATAAAAAATATAAATAATTTAATATAATTTTAATATATTTTTAAAGGTATATAAAAATAGAGAAGAAAAAAAAAATAAAGAGACAATAGAATAAATTAAAAATATTTTAAGAAACATAATTATTATCATTTTCTTTTTCTAATTCAGTCGTATTCTAAAAATGATAATTATACTGGTATAATATGATAAGATAAATTAATCAAGATTAAAAATATATACAATATGGTACAATATTATTTATTTTTTATTTTAACTATAAAACGAGTGCTTAAAATATTTTAATAAAGCGTGATATTAACATGATTTTTAATTATTACACTATAATGTTAACATATTCATAATCCGCCAGAACATGTTGTAGCAGCACATTATAAAAAGAATTTGTAATTAAATATAGCTCGGATTAAACTCCATTACCACTGCTGCTATCATCATGTTATAAAGTTAAAGAAGAAAATATCCATTTAAAAAGTCTGACAGTATTGGCGGAAAAAAGAAGAAGAAGAAAGAGTCTAATGTACGACAAAGTATTTTAAATACATCCTTCGTAGTTAAGAATGTGTTGCTTTTTACTATAAACAGTTAAACCCTTTTATAAGCAGATATTGGCAAAGGAGTCCCTTACATCAAACCCATTTCTTCCCCTTTATCAGTGCTGTTCAGCGAGTGCTACCATGGCAGCAGCTACAACTCCATCAGAAGACCAAGTTCCTCTGAAACTTTTCATGTGCAAGGAGAAAAACAAAGTCTTTTTCGCTGAGGCAGGGAAGGACTTTGTGGACGCTTTGTTTAGCTTCTTAACACTGCCTTTAGGAACAATTGCCAGAATTGTGAGCAAGGAGTCAAACATAGAACCAATTAAAGTTGGTTGTTTGAGTTCACTCTATGAAAGTGTGGCAAATCTTGACAAAGAGTGTATGTGGACAGAAGCCTGCAAAGAAATGCTGATGAAGCCAAGGAACTCAATGGAAGCTTATTGCAAAAACCAGAAATTGAACATAGATGACACAGACCCCACAGAGTTCTTCATTTGTAAGGACTTTGGTTGTAGTAGAAAACATGGTGGCCCTTTGAGCACTTTCTTGAATGTAAGATGTAGTTGTGGAAAATTAATGTGCAGAAAGGTATCCTCTAAGAATTTGACTATCCGCAATGGTTTTGTTTCGGAAGTTGCTAGTTTTATTGTAAGCGATGATCTTTGTGTGATGCCTAATGAGATTACAGCAAGTGTGTCTATACTTCAGAACCATGGAATCGAAAACGTGGATGTTATTGAAGAACAAATTGTGAACATCAGTAAGAAGGAGGTATGTTTAATTGTTTATGTTGCTGTTTTTGAAGCATAAGGTTATTTTTCAGGTTTATCTTTCTACTTGTGGATTATAGTCTAGATTGGATTAGCTTCTAGCTCGTTGAAGTTTTTCAATCAAGATAAAAAAATTGATTCCATACTTAACAAAATAACAATAATAATAACAACAAATTATAGGCTTTTGTGGAAAGAATTTTTTAAAAGGTTGAGGTGCATACATTAATTTTGACTTACGTAAGAACTTTGATTTATTTTATTTTTTTAATTCATTTTACTTTCATTTCTTTAAATGCTTATTCAGAAGTTTATCCAAATAGACTAATTCAATTTTGATACCTATAGGTTGTTGATCTGCTTAAGTGTTCATTACTCTCGAAGACCCCTTTGACAGATTTGTTCTTAAAGAAGAAACAACTCCTTGATGATTTTGATCCAAGTTATCACCCCCAATTTGAGGTTGCAGAGGTGAAAAATGATGGGGCTAGGAAAATAGTTTTGAAAGTGCTAGTAAGAAAATCAAATGGCAAGATTCTGTTTACTCAAGCAGAGGAAGATTTTGCAGACTTTCTGTTTAGCTTTCTCACCTTCCCTTTGGGGGGAGTGTTACATATGCTTGAAGGATACTCTTCTTTGTGCTGCATTGATAATTTATATAAGAGCATTTCTAATTTGAGTTTAGATAGATACTTGATTTCAAGGGATCTCAAAGACGAATTAGCTAACCCTCTCTGTGCCCCACAATTTAACCTACGGAATCAAATATTACCAATTGGTGCTGCTGGGGCACCTACCTATTGGTTCACTAGTTACTACGTGAATGGAGCAGAATGCGGATCTCTTGATGATGTAGCTATACATCCTGATGCTAAAAATTTTAGTAAAGTATACTTGTATCTTGTTGATCCTAAGTCATCCACTGGAGAAACATCAAGTTCTCGTGGATTTGTTAAAGGGCCATCAACGTACATTGTGACAGACGACTTGGTTGTGACACCAATGTCAACCATTTCTTCTGTTTCATTACTAAATAGATCAAAGGTTCCTCTCTCTGACTTAGAAGAAAGGATCATCTGTATTGGCCTGAAGGAGGTAAGATTGTGTCCAAGTTTGAGCTTGTCTAATTCATTCATAAGGTATGTTATGTTATTATTATTTGCAAGATTTAACTGCATCACAACTATTTGATTGTATGATGCAGGGTCTCAGTATGTTAAAGGCTGCCTTGACTTCAACTCGTGCTTTGTCAAACTCTCTGAACCAGCTCATAAAACCCACTAAGGAGGAGAATTGATCAATTATCTTTTTGGTTTAAGCTGTTCTGTTCTAATACGGTGGCTGTGATTTCATCAAGTGTGCCATGACTATCATATATTTCACATGTAAAATATTCTGAATGCCAATCAATTTAATTTTCTTTACTAGAAGTTTGCCTGTTAGCTAGAATAGCGATCTCAATCTTCCTGCATAGTAGCACTCTTTTTCTTCTTGTAACGGATAGGAGGCACTTAGGTGAAGTTGCTATTGGTAAAAAGTTTATATTGCAAGATTTATTAATCTTGTTAGAGCCTCTTGGATAATCGTAAACTCATTATTACTGATTTAATCGTTTAATGAAGCAGCTTAATAACTCTGCTTTTGATTGTTACACGTTGATATTAATAGTATTTTCCTTTCCAATGTCGTCTAGAAACTAGAACGTACGAATTAATATATTCCGGAATAAGTATCACATTAATTTTAAAAAGTAACATTAATTATTTTTATTTTATTTTGAAATTTTAAATGATTTCAAAATATTTAGGATACTTAAAAAGTTTCAGAAGTTTTAGAGGAAATTAAAATGCATAAAAATGTGACACGCCTCATTTTCCACTTCTTATATATCTAGATTTATAGCAAGTATTGACTGATTGATGTGCAAGCATTAAACAGACTCTGTAAATTTATACAAAATCTAAACTCAAGAAGCTAAGAAGATTCTCTTCATTGTATATGTTCTCTACATTTATTCCATCACCATCCAAATGTTGGGTTCACGAAACGACTCTCGATGCTCATTTCCTAACCAAATTGTTCTATTATCTTCATATAATACGGCACGAAATTCTCAAGATTAGGAAGCGAAAAGCCAATGGACACAACATGCAAAATTGAACAACAATTAAAGTGACCGTCCAATTTGACCAATCCCTCCTAAATTCTCTTCGTTTCCTTTCCTTTCCTTGAATCTCTTCTGCGTGCACATTTCCAACAAAATCGTTTATTAAAGATAAATCAAATCAAAGTGACTTTACATTTTCAATATAAATACTTAAAACGCTTTTGTCTTCAAAACAAAACTTATCATTCAAGTTTTAAACAAAAAATATTCGTCTCCTCAATCATACTCTCTTGTAAACTTGTTTATTGCATTGTACCATGGCTACAAGTGAAACTGAGGAGCATGTTACCTTGAAGCTTATGGTAACCAAAGAAAGAAACAAAGTTCTCTTTGCCGAGGCAGGGAAGGACTTCGTGGATGTTCTGTTTAGCTTCTTAACATTGCCTTTAGGTACCATTATAAGACTTGTTAGTAAGGAGTCAAATATGCAGCCAATTGAAGTTGGGTCACTGAGCTCACTCTATCAAAGTGTGGAAAACCTTAATAAGAAGTATCTGTGCACAGATACGTGCAAGGAAATGCTACTGCGACCCAGAAACTCAATGGAAGCTTATTGCAAAGATCTGAAACTAAACATTGACGACACAGCCTACAGATTTGTTCGCATGTAAAAAGGCCGATTGCCGACGCAGTAGCCCTGTCTTGTTCAGCACCTTCAAAGATAAAACATGCAGATGTGGGCTCTTACTAGCTCAACCAATTATTGTTCCTAAAAGCAATCATTTTTTTATGGTTTTGTTAGGAGTAATGCCACTTTCATGATCACTGACGATCTGAACATTCTTCCAATGTCGTTGGAGACAACATTTAGTCTGTTCAAGAATTCTGGAATTGAAAACATGTCTCAAGTGAATGAAATGACCGTGAATGTCACCAAGAAACAGGTTTCTCTTTTTAAACTCTGAAGTACCGTGCTTCGTTTAATCAATTTTACCGTTGCTGATACGTACTAGGTATGTGTACTTGTATATTCTTTGATACTAAACAAAATTTATTTATCTTTAAATAATTGTATGTAACATAAATATTTTAACAAGATTATTTATGATTTAAGATATAACTGATTATATCTTAAAAATTAGCTATAACATTTTTTTTAAAATAATTTTTAATAAGTTTATAGAATTTTTCTCTTGTTAAATTCTCCTATGATATAATTTCACAACAATATACTAATATGTATATTATTTATTTGTTTTATTTAAAAATCATATTAATATACTTGTGCTTTTATATTTTTTAAATTATCATATTCTGTACCTTATCTTAATCTGATAGAGATACTGTATTCATGCAACATAGGTCAGAAAGATTAGAACATTGGTTAAGAAATTGTAATTGCATAGTTTGTTCTTTTTTGAAATACGTTTGAATGTATTGGAAACTCGGACATTGGAAGAATGCTTATAATTTGTAACAAAAATCTTTCACTTATTATTCCTTGATCTGAGTTTTTATACATGAATTTAAGGTTTTTGCTATTTATTGATATTTTTTATCTTGTTTTTTCAGGTTGTGAATATTCTGAAGAGTTGTATGCTCTCTGAGTCAATTTTGACAGACTTGTTCTTAAAGAAGAATTTGTTATCAAAGAGATTAGAACAGACTAGACCTTCTCTATTTGATCTTAAAATAAATGGTAGTAGTAAGCAAATCAATGTGAAGCTATTTAAGAGAAAATCTGATGGCAACATAGTGTTTGCAGAAGGCAAAGAAGATTTTGCAGACTTTCTTTTTAGTTTCCTTACCTTTCCTTTGGTAGCAGTAGTCCATTTGATGAAAGGCTTTTCTTCCATTGGAACCGTTGATGCATTGTACAAGAGCATTGTTGATTTATTTGAAGATTATTGGACTACAGAGGAAGTGAAGGATAAGCTTGTTTTTCCTGGCCTTGCACCACAGTTCAAATTAAGCAACCAATTACTGCCAATTTATGAATCCCTTGCCCCAGAAAGTTTTTCTTACGTTAAAAAGCAAAGTTCCTGTAAAGTTAATAACATTTGGGAAACATTTGGAAACCCGAAGATAGTAGATCCCATTTCCGAAAAGGCAAGTGAAAAAGGATTTACCAAGGGACTAAATATGTATGTGGCAACAGATGATTTGGTTGTGATGCCCATGTCCTCAAATTATGTTGTATCTTTGTTAAACAAAATGGACATTCCCCTTAGTGACTTGGAAGAGCAAGTTGTCAGCATTGGCATCAAGGCATCAAAGAGGTAAAGATAAGTCCAAAAACCACATCTGAATTTTTGTTTTATTATTTTTGTTTGCTTGTAATTTATGTTACCTTGAATTGATTTGGCAGAAGATTATTCAACTGTTCTTAATTTTGTGATTTTGATACGCAGGGGGTGAGCATACTGAAAGCATCTCTGACCTCAACGGCAGCTCTAACAACTGGTCTCAGCCACATTTTAACCAAAGTTAAGGAGAATTTGTACTAGAAAAATGAAAATCGCGTTACTTAGAATTGAGTAATTAGTTAACATTTTGATTTTCTGCGTATAACATCATTGTCAAATGCAATGAATTGAACAAGATAACTGAAGTTTTAGCAATTATCCCCCAGTCGAAATGATTTAAATGGAGAATATATAATGGTAGATACAAAATAAATATATTAATCATTTTTTATTATATTAATATTGACTTTATTTAAATATTTTAAGTTCGTAATTTTTTTTATTATAAGAAACTGTAAAATACAGTTTTTTGTATCAATTTTTGATTTTACCATATTAATTTTCTCACATTTTTTTCATATATTTTATATTGAAACTCATAGTGTATATTTTTGTTTTCTTATCCCAAGTAAGCAAGAAAAAAAATGAAAAAGAAAAAAAATGAAATGGTACTTTTTGTTTAAAATAATTACTTGAAAATTGACACCTTTTTTATTTAATTTTTTTTCAAATAAAATACTTTTTTAGTAATTTTCTTTTGCATGAAAGGCATATTTTATGTGTGATGCCTTATTTCTGTAATTTAAGTAGAAATACTTATATCGGTATTAGGAATTTATATTAATTTAAGATTTTTTTCTGAAGATAATTAATTTTGTATTAAAACGTTCAATTTATGTTTAATGCCTTGATAATCTTAAAATTTAAATTAGAACATCTAAAATATGACAACTTAGTTATCCTAAAATTTTTACATTTTTTTAATTAACGGAATTGCAAGTTTTTACTCATATTTTAATCATTATGTAATTTTGATCTTCTGATTATAAATGTTCATATTTAATGCATTTAATGTTTTATTAAGTTTCTCACATTTAAATATAATTTAATAATTAACAAAAATATTATAGAGATATCATAATTTTTATTAAAATAAATTACTAAAGAAAAGTGTGTAAAATATTTAAATAATAAGAAGTAAAATAATAAAAGTCTTCTATATTTTTTATTTGATTAATTACATTCCACATTTTATATATATTTATGATAATTATTGACATTTTTTAGAATGAAGAACTTAATATGAACAATTAAATAATTAAAAACAAATATGCAAACAATTTAAACTTGATAAACTAAAATATTAAAATTAAAATTTTAATTACGATCTATTAATGCAAACTCATTTGTCAAAGTATTATCTCATTTTAAATTTCTCATTACACATAAGAGTGAATATTGTCCAGTTGCACCAAAATAAAGAATTCAAAAAATTGTCTGTAAAAATTTAATCTTACAACATTTCTAATACCTTAGATTTATCAAATTTATAATTAACTTTAAATGATATTTATTTTTACCTCATTTAAATATAATACAAAGTAGAAAGAATACAAAAAATTGTCTCCTTTATTTTTTGTATTTTTTCTACTTTATATTATATTTAAATAAGGTAAAAATAAATATAATTTAAAGTTAATTATAAATTTGCGAAATCTAAGGTATTAGAAATGTTGAAAGATTAAATTTTTACCTCTCTTTATGTATATACCAAGTTATAAATCTAACCTATTTTCTTAAACCATTTTCTATTTAAAGAAAATAGTTTTACAAATATTTTCAGTTGAAATAAACTTCAGTGTGACAACTTCATTTTCAGTTGAAAGAAACCTTATGAACTACACAACTTTATAAAATTTTAATATTTTTATAATTAAAATTTAAAACAAAATGAGGTCTTCAAATTATAGGTTTTTGTTTTAACTATTAAAAGTGATTTTAAAATTTAAAACATTCATAACTCGAATTACAGGATTTGAAAAAAATTATTTGGAATCTTTTCATATCTATCTTTTCTTCATTGATTAGGAATTCATACTCTTATCAATTTTCTGTATAACTTGTTAAACAACTAATTCAAGTGTTGTTTGCAGTTTAATAAATTTTAATACTTATACAATGGACACTTGTTAATTACATAATTGGTGACACCACATTTTACAATAGAAAATTTTAACAATAATATCAGTATTATGTGAGCAACAATTCTATATCATTATATTAAACACATATGCACGAACAAATTATTGAACTACACTTAAGAAACAGTAAAATAAATATTCTAGAAATATAAGGCAGCATGTTATGGATTTCTGAAATTTGGAAACCTTCACAAATGTTGCTTGATAAAGTCGTGGCAATTTGTGCTGACCTGTTCTATATAGTAAAACCATGCTCGCCTCCAGTGAGGGTTGATATATAGAGTCCCCGCAATTACCAACAACACTGATGTGTATGAAATAACAAAGCTTATGCAGAAAACATACATATCAACCAAACTGTCTTTGTCCCCATCATCAACGTACGAGTTGTTTGATGAAGCAACATGTGGTTGTTCATAAGGATAGCAACTTCTTGTTAGTGGAGGACCACAAAGAAAAGGATTTCCCTCGTAGCTGCTTTCATCAAAGGTCATAAATTGACCTTTCCTTTCGGGTGTTTCACCTGATAAGTTGTTGTGTGCCACAATGAATACAGCAAGAAAGGTTAGTCTATTCAATTGAGTAGGAATTTGACCACTCAGCTTGTTAAAAGAAAGATCTAAACTCTCTATTTGTACCAAATTGGAAAATGTAGATGGAATCTGGCCATTCAAATCATTATGTGACAAATTCAATGCTCGAACCTTGGTCAAGTTTCCCAGCTCAAATGGGATACTCCCATTTAGTTTATTGTGTGATAAATCAATTCCAGACATAAAAGCAAGGATGCTCCCTGTATAAGTATAGGGCATTTTCTTTGTAGTGAAGTTTGCCTTCTCGTGTATATTTGGTATTAGAATTCCTGCATTAGCATGTTCTCCACGAAGATAGCCATAAATTGCAGCATTTAAGTCATCATTCTCAAAAGGCATTTTACCCAAGCAATTGGGTATTGCACCAGAAAAATTATTAAAAGAAAGGTCCAATATACTTAAATCTACCAATTGGCATATTTGCTGTGGCAAATGCCCTGTAAATTGGTTACCTTTCATAATGAGAATGTTCAACCTTGCATTAACAAGGTCTTGTATCATTTCTGTAATGCTACCAGTTATTTCATTGTAGCTAAGGTCTAGCATCACTATGTAAGAATTTTTGCTGAACATACTCTTGGACAAGCCGCTTAACCTATTGTTGCTCAGATGGATGTAACTCAGAGAAGAATTGACAAAAGATGGTACAGAGCCTGTCAAATTATTGTGTGAGATATCTAGATACACTAGAAAATCAAGTTCTGCCAAACTCGGTGGAATAGACCCTTCAAGACGATTGTTGGACAATGAAAGCGTCTCCAAGTATGCCCAATTTCTTACCACAGACGGTAGCTTCCCCACTAAATGATTATTGCTTATATCCACATATTCCAAAGTCATGTCAAAAAAGCCACTTGGTATGCTTCCAGAGAGGCTATTGCCATCCAAATACAACTGCTCCAAGAATTTCAAATTTTCAAACACAGGTCCATCTAGCTTATTATTTGAAAGTTTCAGGAATCTAAGTAGAGACCTATCTCCAGATATATTCGGGGGTATTTTTCCAGATAAATTATTATCTGATAGATCCAATGTATTCAAAATGTTCATTTGGCCAAACTCATCAGGAATTGAACCTTGGATTTGGTTTCCAGACAAGTTTAGAAATTGCAAATTTGGTAAAATTGAACTAATATTGTTGCTAGGGATTTGGCCAATTATGAAATTGTCAGATACATCAATTCTCCTCACGTTAAGGAGGGGGTGTGATGGTATCTGGAAAGTACCAGAAAAAGAGCAATTTCTAACCAGAAGCTCAGTCATTTTTGTGTTATTTTCCAACAACCAATGAGGAAACTCTCCTTCCAACCTACAACTGGTGAAATCTAGACTAGTCAAATTGTTTTGGTAAAGAAGAAAATTGGGGAGTGGGAGAGAATTTGTCTTAGTCGTTGAAGACAAACTAAGCACTTGTAATTGAAATTTTGGAATCCAAGTTTGCAAACTAGGATGTGAATCAAGTATGACTTTGTTGCCTTCACCATAGATGAACTTGAGGTTTGAATGATAGGCAAAGGGCGTGAATGAAATAGGAAATTCAAATTGGTTTTCTGTGAAACCAAAATATTCAAGTGATGTAAAGCTTGCAAGGTTGGAATCAAAATTTCCAGTGAAGTGATTATTAGAAAGTTCCAACATCCTGAGAGATGTCATGTTAACAAAGGATGAGGGAAGTGGCCCTTCAAATTTGTTAGAGCTTAGATCTAGCTCCTCCAACTTTGCAAGTTTAGACCAATCTGAAAATTTAAAATTTGAAACAGAAAAAACAAAATTTTGTCTTAGATGGGTTAGAATGAAAAGGATATGAATATTTCAACAAAAAAGAAAAAATATGTAGAATAACTTTGTGATAAATGACAGGAAATGCAAATTAACAACTGAATGGATAAATATAATTACCAGCAGGAGGAAGGGTGCCATTTATTTCACATTGCAAAAGGGACAAAGTTTTTAAAGATGTCAATTCCCCAATACTTCTTAAAAACTCGTTGTCCAAGTTATAATTGAAATCCAATGCCAAGTGTTCTAGGTTACTTAAATCACGAAAATCTGCAGAATAGAAAAATCATTTAAACATTAATATATAATAATTTGCCTAGAATAAACTAAGTATTATTACCTCCCGCAACAATTGTTCCTATATATTCATTTTCCATCATTGAAAGAACCCTGATAGATGAGAATGCTTGTAATGATTCCCTCAGTTTGCTTCCATTTATCTCATTGTTGTCTAAAACAAGGACATCCAATTTGCTTAGACCTTTTGAGCCTGAAATTAAAAATGAAATAAATTTTAATTTGGCAGAATATGACGAAACAAAGCCATCTCAACATAAGTAACAAAGTAAAGAGATAAGTATATTTTGTTACAGATGCATGTAAATTTTATGATTTTGCAACTAGTATCATTAGTTTATCCGATATAGCTTGTTCATCTCAAAACAATAGTAGTAAGAAGACAATTGCTTAAAAGATTTTCATATCAATTGCCTAAATACCTTGATGGACGACAAAATTGTTGATTCCATTATCACTTAGATCGAGGATCTCCAAACTGGTTAAAGCCAATAATCCTGCCAGAGATAAATAGAGAATTGATAATTTTGTTGTCATTCATATATAAAATAATACTTTTCTTCACTCATAAGATAGAAGTACTACATTGAAAATTTTGTCTCAATTCAACAATTACCGTCGGATAAAAATTGTTGGCAAGTAATGAAATTGCATTGAAAACATGAAATCACAGGAATCTAGACAAAAGGGGAGGAAAATATAAAATAAATTTAATTTGAAAATAATATCAATTTTATTTCAATGTGACATACAAAATAAGGATTTAATTCTTCTAATATGCAAATTACGATATTTTAGAGAGGGAAAAGACACAAAAAGGGGCCACCATAATTATAAGACTTTCATGGGTTATGTTTTCCTTCTATATTATCTTATTCTCTCTAATAGGAATGTATACTAAGAGTCAATAATAGAGCTTTGGGAAAACGGATTTTGACCCATGACCCCATCAGATGGTTAAATTGTGAATAATTTGGCTACCTCTCCAAACTCATCACAGAAAAGCATCTTGAAGCCTTACAACAATAGGAGACTAAAAACAAAACAAAACAAAATTGAAAAAGATACTATATACTACATTGATGGGAGTCACCGTCAAGTCTAATCACCATTGAAAGTTATGAAACATAACTAATTATATAATAAATTTGTACAATTTTTTATCAATTAAAAAATAAAAAAGAAAAGAGAAAAAGTAATAAAATGTTATGTCATAAAAAAATAAAGAAAAAACTATTATAATATAAACAAATTAATTTAAATACACTAACTTTTTCGTCTGCTTTCTAATCATAAATTGTTATATCAATAAAAGTTAGTAATTTATATAATAATTAATATAAAAATATTTATAATATATTTTAATTAATTAACAATATAAAAGTATTTATACTTATGGTACATTAACATTAATCTAATATAAAATTGTTATAAAAAATTGCCGTTAAAATCTTATAACTAAAACATTATTATCAAAAGTCGTTGTTAAGATGATCAACGACAATAATAAAATATATCGTATCAACAAGAATTCTAATTCTTTTAAGAAGTTGACAGAAAAATAACAATGGGATAAGTTATGAATAATGATACCGCTTTACTATGATGATTTAAGATATAAAGAGAACGCCCTAACAAATAATCTACAACTGATATTAATTTAAAGTGATATAAATACAAAACACTAATCTGAATGTACTACATATACAAATACAAGAAATTTCCTTAAATAAACAAAAGAAATTATGAAATATAAAATTTACTTCTAAGAAATCGTTTAATGTATGCATTCTACAGTATCTTGATATAATAAAAAAAAAAAAGATATATTTTAGATATTATAATATAATCCATACTAATACTGACCCCTTATATCTACCGATCCTTCCAATTGATTGGTATTTAAATCAAGAAATTTGAGACGTCCAAGGCCACTTAGAGATGAAAGAATTTTGTGGCTGAAACTGTTTGAACCCAACCCTAAGACTTGTAAATTGGTTGGCCAACTAAATCCATCATTATCTGACCAAAAATTGAAAACATCCAGTTGTCAGTGTTCACTAAGAATAAGAAACATGTTTTGTTCTCATGGAACCATATCTTCACTAATATGATAAACTATAGGATAATGACAACTAACCTTGAGGCCACAGTATACTTTCATTCAACTGGTTCCCAGCTAAGTCAAGGATTTCCAAGGACCTCAATTTTGGTATATCTAGCAATACAAATATACTGATTACAATGACATAATTTCCACTCAAAGATAAAATGATGGTGTATAATATGTAGTGTGGCATACTCAGTATTGATCTCAGAGTAATTTGGTTGTATCCTAAATTTAAAGACTTTAGGGACGAAAGCCCACTAAGAGCAAACGCAATATCACTGTCATTGAAGTTGTTATTGGACAAGTCAAGGACCTCAAGATTCTTCAACATGGAGCATAAACCTGCAAGGTATACACAGAAGCAATCAACATTCCACTAATCAAAACCATTGATAAGCTGTATAATTAAATGAAAAAAGTTGGCCTACCTTGAATATGAAGATCTGAGTCCAATCCAATTCCAGACAAATACAGTTTCTTCAAGGATACAAATCCCCCGAGAGATAGCAACAACTCATTAGAGAAAAAGTTATTGCCACTTATATCAAGGACCTCCAGATTAGGCATCTTTGATGATAGTGTTTCAAAAACTGAGGTGTACATAATTATATGTATTAGTGCCAGGCTGTGGAATGAAGCCAAGAAATTTTGGAAAAATAATACCAAAAATTAAAAAGAAAATATTCATTATAATAACAACAATAATAATAGTGTTATCTTGCTATTATTATTAATAGTAGAGTATTATAGTACCAAAAATGTTTTTTTTTTTATTATAGACAAAAGCCAAAACTGACCGTGGATTAAAGTTACATCGAACCGGTTAAGTGGTAAATACAGAGACTTAAGAGATGAAAGTCCATCCAAACAAGATAGAACGCTGGTAGTATTATTCAGATCATTATAACCCAAGTCAATGACTTCTAGATTTTCTAAGCCTGCAAAGTATGTAATTGAAGAGGAAATGATGGTTATGCCAATTCGTTTTCACTCGGTAAAATAACGATCTGGATATAAAATTGATTTTTATGAGATAAACCTGCACTTTCTGCACAACCAAGTATGGAATTTGATGACAAGTTGAGACTCTTCAAATCTTTGAAGACAATAAAATCCGAATAATTTAGATACCAATTATGTTGACTGTCCTCATCACTCATCCACAGGTCATAAAGATTGAGTTTGGCCACTCTCTTTGTGGTGGCGTTGCACTCAACCCCTTCCCATTGACAACAATCAGTGCTATTCCAATGCCAAGAGAATGGAAAGTTGAAACGGAAATTGATGCCCAAAAGTGCTTCCCTTTCCAGGTTCCAACACCCTTCACAACACATCGCTTCAAACAAGACAGAAATCAATAAAAACACGCCTACGTTCTTTAGTTTCATCTTCGTAGTAAGTATATTTTGTAACAGAATGGATTCGGAAGTTTAAATAAAAATCCACCAGTTAACTAGTTTGTGGCATTAGTCAATCATGGTGGCTCACGCGGTTTTCTCCTCCAGTGTATTAGTTGTTTTCATAACGCTTTCAACATGTAGGGTAACTGTTGACATTTCTTGTCACAGAGGCATAGAGGCATAGACTTTGGGATCCGAATTCCCTCTCGCAGGAACTCCATTTTCCCTTGAGCGAAAGCAAAAGGGGACTCCTTAAATGAAAATGCAAAGAAGGATGAAATTTTTTTAAGCTAACATAGTTTGAGCTAATTTTTTTTAGTTTAAATAAATTTGTTGTAAAAAAACTCTTAATCTTTTCTCCTTATCTTCATATTTAATACTCCCTCTTCAATTTTCATATTCAACCTTAAACTTTCATACTTAATATTTTTCCTTCTTACTCACTCAACTCTCTTCTTCTTTCTCAACTCCCTCTTCCCTCTATCCTCTCTTTTCTTTCTCTTATGACTTTTCGATATTCTATGCCTTATTTCTCACTCTTTTCTCCATACTTAGCTGTCCACCGTCTTCTCCTTTTAACATAATTCTTATACCACTAACTCTTTTTATTTCCATTCATCCTTGGTCTTTCTCTTTTTTTACACCATCTCTCATGCCCAAAATTTATTTAAACTAATATATAAAATTAGCTTAAACTAATTTTACATAAAAAAAATTATTATTTTTTACCTTTTTACTTGAACAAATTCAACTACATGTTCAATCCTAGCCCCAACTGGAGAGAATAAAGTCTTTGTTATAATACGTTGAAAGTTCCAAAATGAGTGTAATTTGGATAGAAGAAGAGATTAAAAAAGAGAGGGGGGGGGGGGGGGGAGTTGGGTTCATCTTTAAATTATAAGGTAAGTTTTTCAAATTGTTCTAAAATTTTTAAGAATTCTTGAAGTAAGTTTTTTCTTGTAAAAAATATTACTAACCTTAATATTTTTTAAAATTTTTTCTTCCAAATGTTTTGTTTATCTTTTTTTTATATCTACATTCTCCCTTGCATCTTCTTCTTCCTCTGTGAAACTATGCACAATAAAAAATAATATTGTCATCACTCAAAAGAGACAGACTTGTCATTGCTACACCAATGATAATACATTTGAAACCTTCCGCCATTGATTTTTGCTATTAAATTCTTTAATTTCAAATTCACCCTAAGTGTCCGCGAGATCTTTGTTGTTGTTTGTCACACTGCCTTTGAGAGTAGTAGTAGCAACGTTTGTTTCTCTCTTTTTGAGTGGCAGGAGCATCATCCCTCCACTATATGAGGATTGAAGGGAAAGAAAGAAAGAAAAAGAAAAGGAATAAGAAGAGGATGGAGACGGAAGAAGAGGAGGTAAGAAAAAATGTTAATAAGAGATATGAATAAAAAGATGAATTATACACAAAGTAGAAAAAGATAAATAATTAATGGAATTAATTTTTTAACAACAACAAAAAATTATAAGAAGCATTTTTAAAGTAAGAAGACTAAAATGAATCAGAGTTAAAACATAAAATTAATTTACCCAAAAATTAGAGAATGATAATATTAATTTTTTTTTAAAAAGTTTAATTATCTTTTTAGTTCATTTAAAAATAACAAAAAATTTCATATCATCTAATTTTTTTTTAAAAATATTTTTTTATTTACAATTAATATTTATAAATAACATATTTAAACACATTTTAAATATTTATAAAAAATTTATTAAACTTATTTCCCTTTTTCCTTCATCTTTCTCTCCCTCCCTAACCCCGTTAACAAGGCACTACAGATGCAGCTTCAACTGCACTCCCCAACTTCATCAGAAGAAAGAGAGCAAACCCGATATTCACAAAAATGGCTGCAAAAGCGAAGATACAGAACCCATAGAACTCGTTCACTTTCAAGTGTCCGAGTGTTACGTCTAGACTGTGAGTCTTGCAATTTCCTAATGATGGGTCGGTTTGGGCGATGGGTTGTGATTGAAATTTTGAAATGTGGGAATTCAATTTGCAATTGAATGGGAGTACATATGATCAAGTTTAATGTTAATGATAAAAAAAACACTTTAAGGTTGTTAGAAAATTGTGGTGGCACTGAATGTTGCATATAAAAAGTTGGATCACTGTCAGTAATGAAATGGGACTTGGAATTTGTGAACTTCCGTTTTTTCAAGCTAATAGATTTCTACTATTTATGCAAATACCGCGTGCAACTTCTTATAGGTTTGTGATGAACTTCAAATTATAGATCTGTTGTGCTTATGATCTGCATAGTGCATCTTTAGGAAAATGTTAAGATTATTAATGTACTTTACTTTGGAAAAGAAGCCGAACTATTCGGTGTTTGTGGAAGTTTAGTGACTTGAATGCATAAGGGAAAACCCCATGCTCACTCACATAGCTTGGTAAGTGGTAACCAACCCCACAATTTCCTCATCAGCAATGCCTCTTCAATGGCACTCCCTCTTCACCAACTCCCCAAAAACAATTTCCCCCGTGAAATCATCAGGTGGAAAATCATAATCTGATTCAAGCATTTCATCGAGCACATAAAGACCGTCCTCAACACGACCCGATTTGAACAACCCCTTCATTAACCCGTTGCAAAGTCAAGAATTTTTTGAAGAATTTTTTTTTCATTTTTTAATTTTAAAATTTTTGAGCTTTAACGTTCTTTTCAAGTAAAGTTCATCTAAAAAATAACAAAAAAATAATATATATAAGAGGAAAACAAAAATTCAAGTGACAGTAACCTTCCATGTTTTATTATTATGAAAAAAAATTAATAACACACTTCAGCACAATTTCTCAATACATTTAATCAAAATTCATATGGCTCTCCAGATTGAATTGTCTCTCACCTTAAAAACAATGTGTTAGGCTCACTTCTACTAACAGGCCCATTATGGTGGAACAGCCAAGTCTAGAGAATATTCAAGAGGAAGTAAAAAATGATGCAAGACCCCAACGAATTTGAAGGAGACCCATTTACCTCAAGGATTATGTAACTGAATGGTTACGTGGCAGTATCTGTAGGAATTGGTTAGGCAGAAGGGAGCACGTCGAACAAACTTTGTTCATTTTCTTACATTTCACACATGTATGGTGCTATATAAGTACAACTAAATGTTTGAAAAAGGAGAAGAATGATATTTGCAAAATTTCTCTCTAATATTCTCATTCTCTTCTGATTATTCTTTTTTGTTTTCTGTGCTAACCTTCCACAATGCAAGCGTTAATATTAATTTTAATTTGTAAGATTAAGTTTAAGTAATAAATAATGGTGTCTTATGAGAAATTGTAGGATTAATAAGTTAATATGATTAAATTAAGAAAATTTTAATTTTAATTTGTAAGATTAAGTTTAAGCAATAAATAATGATAAGATCTTAGTAAACAAAATTATTATACTTTTATAACTTTAATACAATAAATGTATTTCAATATTTTTTAATAAAAATATTGTTTTTAAATATTTAAATTCCATTTCAAATAAAAACTCTTGTTGATAATTAGCCAAGTTGAAGATGAACGGGAACCCAACCATGGTGAACCATAGGATGGCATGTTCTATTTTTAGTTACTTTGCCATTTTATTGATGGACATACTTCACATGCATAACATTCTGTTTCTTTATTGTGTGTGGGGATACATGTCACTCTATATCCCATTTCTTCACTTTAATTTCTCCCCATTTGATGAGCATAAAAATAGAGGTTTGGGTTCCTTATGCCACCCATAACCCTAATTTCTCCTAATGAAAAAAAAAAAAGATAATAAGTTTATATTTTGAGACACTTTTATAACTTAATTTTATATACTTAATCTTTACTTAATCAGATTTTTGTATTAATTTTTTTTATTAATTATTATAGTTTAGCAATAATTAATTATCAATGAATTGTTATCATAATCAAAGAAAATTTGACCAAAAAAATAATAAAATGAAAGTAATAAATAAGGTCACAATCAGCAACAAGTACAACTATACTTAACATTTAGTATAAAAGTGTTTCATGGTCAACATAGACGTGTTTATGATTTTTCTATATATTATTTTTAGATATTTTTAAAGGTTTAAAAAAACCTTATTTTAAGGAACAATTAGGGTTAGCAACAAGGACTTCTTAATATTTATTTGGCCAACTTTGACTGTTGTTTTAAGAGGTTTTGGAGCAAAGATCATTGATGAAGACAAAAATTACATTTTTGAAATTTGAACGAGTGACCGAAAACACATTTTAAGGATAAATATTTTTTTCATCTTTTTTCTTTTGAAATTTTTCTAATTTATATTTTTTTAATGAATATTATTTTCTTTACATTTGTTTTCTTTGCCTATTTTGTCACATGTAACTAAATCTATAGATAGAGTTACGATGAATACTTTAAATACTTCATGTGATCTTTATATTTAAGTACAATACTGAATTTTTTAAAAATTTATATTTGCCCTAGTATGTGTATATTTTTATGTTAGAAATTTGTTACTTTTAATATCTTATAGCTGATTGCATGATAGGTGAGTGTAACACACGTACTCAATGAATTTATGAAGTAAAATGAGATAAAAATTAAGTTAACTAAACTAGTTTGGTTATTGACTTAACAAATATTTTTATGTTTTTCTTCTTTTTCTACCTTGCATGACTATTAGGGGTAAAAACTTAAAAAAAAATATTAATATTATATGATCATTGAATGTTAATAGTTTTAATACAAATAATTAGCAATTATTTAAAAATTAAAATTATAATTAAACTAAAAATGAAAATAAAAAAGTATAAAGATAAATCATATGTCTTAGATTCATTTCGAATATTTTTTTTTCAAAAATTATGATGCATACTTTGCTTTTTTAATTATTTTTTTAGTTTAAATCTTTCGTTAAGTTAGTTAATTTTATTATATTTTAACTTAGTTTAAATAATTAAATCATAATATTCTCATTAATTAAAAATAATATTTGTGAGACAATATTATAAAAATTCAATTCAAGAAATTATTGTATTACATTTTGAGTGATAAACTTCCAATTAACAATCGAGATAAACTTCCCAAGTTACAATCGTCTTCTAAGAACATTGATATGCGTTGCAAGTGGCTGGTGTCCTTGCAAGGGATCCATGGGGATGCCATGTTTTGTTCAGCGGTTCCAATTTGTTTGTTTTGATGAAACAAATCGTACCTATTTCTCTTGTTGGAGCATTGGGCTTCATGTCAAAGCCCATAATGTTCCACTTTTTGAGCCATTATGAAGGGACTCGGGGAGCAAGGATCTAGTGCTAGCAGTATCTGATGCTCCAAACGTTGGATGGGATTACACGTTTAAGGGAAACATGTTGGATCTGATGCTCTGATCGTGGGAATTAATTCGTTATAGGGAATCATATTCATTTTGGTTAACCACACTTCCAAGGTGAATTCCCAGAGATTAATTGCTGCATGTGAAAATCCAACTTTTACATAGCTAATCTATTTCTTAGAACAAACGTGGATTAGAGCAATGCAATCATGATAATATAAGAATATGTGTGGTTTAAAGACAAATGAATTTAATTTTAATACAATAAATTTAAAATTATTAAGGGTCCATCTGTTTCAGCTTTTGAAAAAAGTGATTTTTAAGACAAAAAGTTATTTATTTTTAGATATTTTATGTTATTTTTGTTTGCTACAATTATGAAAATACTTTCTATAATAGTAGTAGAGCTTTTTTAGCAGCTGTTCAAAATAACGTTAAAAAAAGTTAAAATCAGATTATTTTCAGCCTTTATATATATATATATATAAGTTTAAAAGTGATTATTTATAAAAAAGGGCTTTTTTAATGAAAATAATATTAAATAAATGGGTTCTAAATGAGATTGAGATATGCATTTAAATTACTTTTAACTAAAAAAATATATTAAAATTCATATTATTTTTAAAAAATTAATTTTATTTATTTGCCAAACAAGTACCGAAGAAGTTGAAGTGTTTTCTCCTTCGCAAATTGTGTTTGGTTAGACATATAAAGAAGTTTATTAACAATATGGGAGCCTAACTAAATCTCTTCTTGTATCATGTATTTTAAGGAAAAGCATGGTTTTTCCCGTCCATTTAGATGAAAATTGTCCTCGTAAACTGAATATTAAGTGCCAAAGAATCAAGGAATGGCCTAACAAAGAAATTTCGATGGTGGAGCTCACGTTTATGTCTATTCCAAAATCTTAAAATTAAGTTTATAATTTTTAAATAAAAAATTCAATGACACTACTTATATGCTCATGCTTTTTAAATATTTTTTAATGTGTCTAAAGAGAAGTTAAAAATAATTTTATATTAAAAATAAAAATATTTATTATCTCAAATTCATAAATAGTTTTTAATTCATACTTTTTTATGGTAATTTAAAACATTTAAGGGTTTTATTATTTGTATATAGTTTTTAAAAATAATATATATCAAAATATGAAATTTTTAGAAAATTGCATAAATATGAGATTCAAAAGTATAAAGAAACTCTTTAGAACTTGCCTTGTTTGTGTGGTCAAATCCTCCTCTCAATTTAGGGAGTCAAATATTAAGGGCTCTTACTTGTACCTCTTAATCTCTATCTAAAGACAGGTGGGCTTGCATAAGCATATATAGGGAATTAGAACGATCTGATTCAACCATGAGTGTATCCTTATCCACCCTCTATCTAAAATAAGTAAAATAAATTATAAAATGATTATCTTCTCACACAAAATACTAACATGCTTAGAACATGGGTGATGAGTCAAATTAAAAATAGTATTAGTAATAATAAAGATAGGTTTAATATGGGTTCAATGAACTCGTATAGGATAACGTGTACAGGTGCAAAACAAGTGTATTTTTATGATTAAATTGGTTAAGGATCTATTAAATAAAATTTTTATTTCATAATTATTAAATTAAGAAAGTATCTTAATGTTTATATTTGATTAAAGGCATAATTTATGTAATATTTGACGGTAGTGATAGTGTGAGAGGATGATGATCAGTTGGCAATGATAGTGAAAATCACCGATAATAATTTATGTAAGTGAAAAAAATAATAAAATATAAAACATTACTCTCGCTTTTTGTTAAGTGTACATGCTAAAGTTTGAATATGATTTTCAATTTTAATGTTATACCAAAAAAGCTAATGGATTAAAATGTATATTCTAAATATAATTCCATATTCTAAACAAAGCCCTACGAGAATGATAAAGTTTATATTTTAATATATTTTTTATTTTTTTATTTATATATTTTTTTAATATTTTTATAAAATATAAGATTGATTTTAATTTATATTGTTTTCGGGATAACGTATATTAAATTTTATATAATTTAAATATTTATAATGATGTTATATAAAATTGGATATTAATTTATATTTTAAAAATATATTATTTATTTAAAATAATTATTTATTTTATTTTTATATAAAAAATCTCTTAAACCAAAGTTACATAAGAATTTCTGTGCGCCTGACTGCCATGTCTTACGTTTCCCTGCCATTGCGCTAAACACCATTTTCTTTTTCCTTCTTCCTCTGAACCTATTATTCTACTTGTCCTCCTTCTATTTTTCCCTCTTCATTTGTTTCTAAACATTTATTGGCCCCTTCGAAGCAATGGTGGGGGGTGGCAATTCCAAATCCGATATCTCCTTTGCTGGCACTTTCGCAAGCAGTGCTTTCGCTGCATGTTTCGCTGAGGTATATCTGTGACTGTGATAACAACCCTTTCTTCAAAAACTCTCATCTGGGTATCGTTTATTTCACAGTTCTGTTTTATGGGTAACCACTTTTTGTCTTGATCATGCGTTAAAACCATTTCTTTTTTGGGTATTGGAATTAGACCCATTATTTTTTGTCACGTACAGTAATGGATCCTAACCTTAGTGTTCACTTAATGGACTTTGTTTGATACATTTTTTAAAGCTCCAGGTGCTTGTGCTTAAGTTGTGACAGATCATGCACGTGATGAGCGACTGAGTTTTTTTTTTTTTTGTCGTTTAATTTGCTCACGTTGATTTCCATACCCTTTTGCTTGATCAGAATTATTCAATTGAATATGAGGTGGTGCATCTATGTTATTGATCAAATGAGTTTCTTGTAGGTTGGCGCAATTTGCGCCAAGCCAAAGGCTTGTTGGTAGTTGCTAGTGTTGTATATTAGACAATGGTCAAATAGTGGAACTGTTGTTTATACTTATATGTGATTAAAGGCCTTTACTTTTTACTCTTGGCTGTTTGTTTTTCAAGGTTCAACATGGTCGATGATTTGTAGATCTTGGAATTTGACGGGTGGAATAGATTGATTGACTTGAAAATAATAGTACTTGTTTGGCTGGGGAAATTCAGAAGCAGTTTTTGTGGCATTTGCTGGGTAACCCGTTATGTTTTCGAACTTTGGCAGCTGTGAAAAATTTACATGAGGATCAAATAATCTTTCATGTAATATCCTATATGAAACGGTTATAGATTTATTCCAAAATTTTCCTTACCAATGAATTTTGGTCCTGAGTTGCTCTATGTGAAGATTGGTTAAATATTTATTATACTGTTTTGCATGTTTACTTCACTGTAAGATGTCATACTGCTTTTACTAATACTTAGTCCTTATATATAACTATATATTTGAAATTATTGCTCGAATTTCACATAGGTGTGTACTATTCCTTTGGACACTGCCAAAGTTAGACTTCAGCTTCAAAAACAGGCTGTAGTTGGTGATGCAGTGACCTTACCTAAATATAGGGGCATGCTAGGAACGGTTGCAACCATTGCTAGGGAAGAAGGTTTTTCAGCACTCTGGAAGGGCATTGTGCCAGGGCTACATCGTCAATGTTTGAATGGAGGTTTAAGAATTGCATTATATGAGCCTGTGAGTTTTGGACCTTGTCGCAAGGAATGTTTATTTATTTCAGTTCATTTCTACTGTTTGCTTATGTGATCCAATGGCCTACATGACAATGGGGTTTTAACAGGTTAAGAATTTCTATGTTGGGCCTGACCATGTTGGAGATGTTCCATTGTCTAAGAAAATTCTCGCCGGATTTACAACTGGTAAAGCCCAATTCTGGACATTGTAGGGATTGTTTTTAATATACGCTAATATGTGAATCTGTTCCCATTCTTGGAGTGTCAACTTCTTGCTGGCAGGAGCATCGGCTATTTTTGTCTAGAATTCTTTATACATTATGCGAAACTCTGACATTGAGCCCCTTGAATTTGTCTTATCAACAGGTGCTATGGCAATTACAGTGGCAAATCCGACTGATCTTGTGAAAGTTAGACTTCAAGCAGAAGGAAAATTACCTCCTGGTGTGCCCAGGCGCTACTCTGGATCATTAAATGCTTATTCAACAATTGTGAGACAGGTATTTGCAAATAACTTGATATGATTTGTGAAAGTAGGAAGTTTTATTCAGTCCCTTTTCAGGTTATAATTAGTTTTGTTCAATTTGCATCCTATGCAGGAAGGAGTTAGAGCACTTTGGACTGGGCTTGGTCCCAATGTAGCAAGAAACGCTATCATTAATGCTGCTGAACTAGCCAGTTATGATCAAGTGAAACAGGTAATGTAGAAGACAATGGCAGCATTTTGTTATTCCCCTTTTATTTTTTAATAACCATTTTTTTTTCATTGCAGACTATTTTGAAAATTCCAGGATTCACTGACAATGTTGTAACTCATCTTCTTGCTGGCCTAGGGGCAGGGTTTTTCGCAGTCTGTGTTGGCTCCCCTGTCGATGTGGTAAATTTTTTGCTGTTTACTTGTGAATATCCATAGTTGATTTGGCATTTTTTTTATTGTATCATCATTTTATACAGTGTGTTAATATTCTACAATTTGCTACAAGTTTTAGACGTTCTTTTTCGTTCAACTATGATAAACTGATAAATCCAGGGATAATTAGAAAATGGTTGAATTAGTAAATAATTTCTTGTTGACAGCTGATCTTAAAATCCGTTGTGGTGGATCTGTCTGACAACTTTTTTCTATTCTTTCTTCATTTGGTTGCTCAGTAAGCTTTTTAATTATTCAGCTCAATTTCATTCCCCTAATTAAATGTGCTATCTTCCTTCTGTTGTATATACAGGTTAAGTCAAGAATGATGGCAGATTCTAGCTACAAAAGCACCCTTGATTGTTTCATCAAGACATTAAAAAATGATGTATGATTGTTTTCCACTATTATTGTTTCTCTCCCTTTCCCATATTTCTTTAATTATATGTATTAGCTGTATGTAGATATAGTTGCAGTGATTTTTGAGTAATATGCATCACAGAATTTGATAAAATCTAATTGTAAGTGGTTGTTGATTAGTGTATATTAAGTATAATCCACAAGCACAACGTGCTGGCAAACTCCCTTGTAAATTTTTAGTTATGACATCATTATACACTTTCATTTCTTGCCCTTACTTATTTGCCAAAACAAAGTGATCGGTTACATCGTTATACAGTACCACCTATTTCAATATTATTGAATGTGTGTCAATATAGGAGAGCTGTTCACATAGCTTGTCTCATAGTCTATTCTGTATGAACTTCCTTAGACAAGAAAGTGAAGGAACTACACTGTCAATGGGTGTCATGCATCACGTCTAATTGGTTACGATATAATGTTTTGCAGGGACCTTTTGCCTTTTATAAGGGGTTCATTCCCAATTTTGGACGGCTAGGATCTTGGAATGTGATCATGTTTTTAACTCTAGAACAGGTAAAATTGAATACTTAATGATAGTTTCCATTTATACTAGTCTGCTTCTTCAAAGATAAAAACCCTTCTGCAAACTCACTTAACCTTTTCTGAGAGCAACTTTGGTTTCATATTTCTTAAACCTCGCACTTACCTTGTCCTTTCCTCTAACTTGACTTAGACATACATGTTACTTAATTTAGCAAACAAAATTTATTTATAACGATGTTGAATGTAATACTGGTTATGCATTAATTAGAGATAAGCATGATTATGTATTATACCATACTACTCATGTTTCATAATTTTGAAAAAAAAAATTACTTCCGTTATTAAGGAAATATAATTGTATTTGACTGAGTTATCCTCTGATTAAGTTAATGCCTTCCTTCGTTCAAATTAGTAGAGATACTGTGACAAGGTATAAGTTGAAAGAAAAAAGGTAATTATTGCCTCTTTTTTTTAATTGAAAGATAAAATGAAACAAAATTTCTTCTCTTAAATTAAAACGACAGATATATGATATTATGAAACAAAGAGTATTTTTTCGTATATGTTTGCAAAGTATTCAAAAGAGTTTATAAGATTTTTGAAACGAAAAAAATTGTTTTCCTAAATTTAATTTAAAACATACATATTAAATCAAATTGTTATCGTAGATAAACTCGAACACCATGATGTGAGTGTTGATCGTCTCTGTCCTTACATTGATTATCACAAAAAACCCATCTCGACTTACCCTGTTAAATTTGGTTGTTTTCTAGCCGGAAAATATTGATTTTTTTTTTGTCGAAAAATATTGTTGTATTTTTGGAATGCATGTTTAAAAATATATAAAAGTGAAATAGAAATAATTATATTCGGTGTCATATGAGTATTAATTTTAATTGATTCAAATAGAGGAATTGTTCCTATCTCATTTGTATATTTTGTTCCTCATGACAGGCTAAAAGGTTCGTCAAGAGTTTAGAATCAGCTTGACTTCAACCAATTATCAGTATAATATTTTTAGGAGACATCCTCCATATGCTATGCAATGGAAATTGTCAAGAAAATAAAACTTCTCCTTAATTTGTTAATTGGAATGTATCAAAACATTTTTTTGGGAGGAAAAATGAAGTGTTGATAAATGAGATTAGTTATGCTATCTCTTTGTAATTTTCTTAAAACTTCTCTCCGCAGTATGTTTCCATAATATCAAGTGAAAACATTAGCTTATTCAATGTTTTTCTTTTTTCCACTTTGGTGCAAAATCCCTGTCAAAATTTAAATTTTTATTGTATCATAAGGATATCGATCAACAATGTAGATTCTCTTCTATTAGAACTTTTTGTAACAATAAGAGAAGGGGCAAAAGAGGTATTAGCCAAGGATAAGAGTGAAGAGCACTCGAGCAAAGAAACAAAGTGGGTGAGGAGAGATTCTTGGTCCAAAATAACTAACACAAGGTTGAAGGATTGTCATTGGTGGAAAGAATAATATTTAATGGGTTGTTAGAGGAGAGGGGGGGGGGGAGGAGGGAGAGGTGGAAGGAATTAATTGTGATCTATTCTCTCTCTATATCTTTCTTTTTGTCTATGTTGTAATTCTTTTATTTCTCTTTTTGTTTGTCTCCATTGAATTCTGTTTCGGTAATTTTGTTTGTGTAAAAATGGAGGACACTTTTATATTTCATTAATTGCTTCAACTGTTTTATTAAATTCCTTCTCTATTCTACTTGCCCTTTTGATTTCCTCCATTATATTGGTATTTTCATCACTTCATGGTAGAGAACATGGTAGAGAACATACGCATGAAGGAGCTTGTGATAAATGTCAAAAGGATTCTCGAAATAATGGAATCTCATGATAAGGAGTATGCTGCTCAATTTAAAACTCTAAAAACGATGTTGGAATTGTCACTCAAGCAAAAATCTGGTGAAGATGTGGGCTCTTTTAGCAATTAGAATAATCAACCATTCCAGGTTAGAAGCGTAAAACTTGATTTCCACGTGTTTGATGGATTTGATGTCCTATAATAGATTTTCAAGACCAAACAATTCTTCAGCTATTACAGAATCACGAATGATTAGCGTCTGATTATTGCTTCAATACATCATGATAAGAATGTGGTTCCTTGGTACCAAATGATCACTCGTGATAATTCATTTCATTCTTGAACTGCCTTCATGAGGGCCCTCTCCATATGAATGTTTGAGATGTCAGTTGTTCAAGCTCACTCAATCTAACTCAGTCTATGCTTATTATGTGCAATTCACAGCACAAGCTAACCGCATTCAAGGGGGATCACTTAGGAAGCCTTATTGTATTGCTTTGTAGGAGGATTAAAACCTGACATTCGAAGGGATGTTATTGCTCAAGCACTAACTTCACACCGTATAATTGTTTCATTAGCCAAATTATATGTATAAAAATATATCCCTAAGTCCAGACCATTCACCTCAACTTTCTCATCCAAAACACAAGCTATAAACACAAACCAAACCACCTCTTAGTCCTTAAAATCCACTAGTCTACTCCATTATTACCTTCCCCTAATTCCAAACTAACCAATGTCAAAAAGTTAATGTCGGCAGAAATGGAATTAAGAAAAGACAAGGGCCCTTATTTTGCTTATGATGACAAGTTTTCTCCTAAACATAAATGTCCTAACAAGCAGTATTTTGTCCTACAATGGGAGGAGGAGGATGAACCTAAGTTACAACCTGATCCCCTAGATGAAGTAGAAGTGGTTGCAGAAATAACACCTCAAGATCATCATTTGTCTTACAGTGCACTAAAAGGCTCTTCAGGACTGAAAATAATGAAATTTTAGGGGTCAATTAATGGGTTAGGAGTCCAAATACTATTAGACAGTGGGAACTCAAATAATTTCCTACAGCCTAGATTGGCTCAATGTTTGAAGCTTTCTGTAGAACCAATTCCCCATTTACAGGTTTTGGTTGGGAATGGAAAATCTTTGGTAGTAGAAGGACTCATTTGAGATTTGGAGGTAAAAATTCAAGGCCATACATTGAAGCTACCAGTATACCTACTACCAGTTTTTAGCACTAACTTGGTGTTAGGTGCAACATGGCTATCAACAATTGGACCACATCTTTTTTATTAGAGTACCCTGACATTGAAATTCTACTTAGGTAATCAATTCATTACCTTGCATGGTGATAAACCTTCATTGCCACAACCTGCTCAGTTTAACCATATGAGGAGAATGCACCATACTTATACTATTGCTAAGTTATTCACACTACAATTCTCCCAGCCTGATGGCCCATCAGATCAACTCCTAAATTTGCCAACTGACATGGAGCCTAAACTAGCTATGCTACTATATACATATAGGTTAGGTTTTTTTATGTTCCCTCTAGGTTACCTCCAAACAGATCTCAAAATCACTCTATACCATTAGTAGAAGGAGCTAGGCCAGTGAAAGTCATGCCTTATAGATATCCACATAACAAGAAGGATTAGATAGAAGTGATGATAGCTGACATGTTGAAAGAAAGGATTATTTGTCCTAGCACTAGCCCTTTTTTCCTCTTCAATCATTCTTGTCAAAAAGAGGAATGGTATATTGAGATTCTGCATGAATTATAGAGCACTAAATACCATTACAATCAAGGACAACTTCCCTATTTCAATTGTTGATGAGTTAATTAATGAGTTGCATAGAGCCAACTATTTATCTAAGCTAGATTTATAATCTGGCTATTACCAAATCCTAGTGAATGAAGAAGATAGACACAAAATAACCTTCAGAACACACTAAGGCCACTATGAATGGCTTATTATACCATTTGGGCTCACAAATGCCCTTACTACATTTTAGTGTTTGATTAATAAAATTTTTCAAAACTACTTAAGGAAGTTTGTCCTAGTCTTCTTTGATGATGTTTTCATCTGGCCAACATTTAGAAATGGTGCTAAAAGTCCTTCAACAACATAAGTTATATGCTAAGCTCTCCAAATGCTCACTTGGTTTACAACAAGTAGACTACTTAGGCCATACAATCTCAAGGAGTGGAGTAGCAGTGGATCAAGAAAAAGTTTGAGCTGTCTTGAACTGGCCTTGTCTTACAAATATGAAGCAATTAAAGGGTTTTCTAGGACTCACTAAATACTACAGGAAATTTATTAAAGACTATGCATCTATAGTAGCACCTCTATCTAACTTGTTGAAGAAAGAAATTTTTAATTGGATTGAGCAAATCACTTTTGCCTTTGAGAATCTTAAATCTGCAATTACTAAAGTTCCAGTATTAGCACTCCCTAAAATTTCAAAGGTATTTACATTGGAGACTGATGCCTTGAGTATAGGAATTGGTGTTGTGTTTAGCCAAGATCATCACCTAATAGCCTTCTTCTCTAAGAAACTCACTCCTTGAATGCAAAGGTAGTCAACATACATGAGGGAATTCTATGCTATTACTGAGGCTATTGCTAAGTTTAGACATTATTTACTTGGGCATGGATTTGTGGTTAAGACTAACCAAAGAAGCCTAAAATCATTCACTGATCAAGCTATTTAGACCCCTGAGCAACAAAAATGGTTGCACAAACTATTAGGGTATGATTTCTCTATTGAATACAAACTTGGCAAGGAGAATTTAGCTACGTACTCCCTCTCTAGATCATTCTTTATGACTTGGTCAGAACCAAAATTTCAAATTACTCAAGTATTGAAGGAAGCAATACAAGCTAATCTTGAATTACAGTCTACTAAGGACTTATGCTTGTAGAACACGACACCAGATCCCAATTACTCAATCCTGGATCAACTGTTGTATTGGAAAGGCAAGTTAGTGATTCCTACTAATTATGGCCTAGTAAAGCATATTTTGCATGAATTTCATATTTCCCTGCTCGGTGGACATGCTAGTGTTTCTAGGACATTGGCTAGAATTAGTGTTCAATTCTTTTGGCAAGGTATGCAGATAGATGTTAAGAATTTTGTGCAAAAATGCCTAGTTTGCAACCGGCCAAAAGTGAAACTACACTACCAGTTGGTTTATTATAGCCCCTTCCCATTCTTATGCAGATTTGGGAAGATTTAGCAATAGATTTTATAACAGGACTTCTACCCTCTAATGGTTTCACGGTGATTCTTGTAGTGATTGATAGATTATCCAAATATGCTCATTTCTTTTCTAAGAAGACTGACTACACTAGCAAGCAAGTGGCTGAGATATTTGTAAAAAAAATGTGGCTAAGTTGCATGGCTTTCCTAAGACAATTGTGTCTGACAAAGACAAGGTCTTCACAGTCATTTTTGGCATTGTTTAAGCGCAGTGGCACTACAACGAACCTCACTACTACATACCATTCACAAGCTAATAGTCAATCTAAGGCCCTTAACAAGTGTCTGGAAATGTACCTCAGATGTTTCTCTCATGACTCTCCTAAGGATTGGGCTAAATTGTTATCTTGGGCAAAATTTTGGCACAACACTGTCTTCCACAATAGCAGTGGCATGACACCTTTTAAGATAGTTTATGGTAGAGACCCTCCTTGCTTGATAAGGTACACAATTGATCAAAATGATTCTGTATCAATCAAAAAGCAACTCTTGACCAAAGATTTCACAATTAACAAGCTGAAACAGAATTCAATCAAGGCTCAAGCACACATGAAGAAATATGCAGATTAGAAATGTAGACAGACAGAATTTAAGATTTCTAATTCAGTTTTGGTGAAATTACAACCCTATAAACAACACTGAATTGTTTTGAGAAAAAAATCAAAAACCCAGCCTAACGTTCTTTGGACCATTTTCAATCATTGACAGAATTGGCTTAGTTGCTTATAAACTACTGCTCCCTCCTACAACCAAAATTCATCCAGTATTTTATGTCTCACAACTCAAGCCATGCAAAGGAGAGCATTCTCAGCCTTATATTCCACCTCCATTTACTGATAATGAAGTTCAATCATTAATTCAACCAACTAAGATTTTACAGGAGAGGGTTGTTATTTGAGGCCAACAGCAAGTGCAACAAAAGTTAATTCAATGGCAAGGTTTGAAGATGATCAAGCCACATGGAAGGATGTAACAACATTGCAACAAGCTTTTCCTGATCTTAACCTTAAGGACAAGGTTAATTTTAAAGGAGAGGCATTGTAATAATAAGAAACGGGCAAAAGAGGTATTAGACAAGGATGAGGGTGAAGAGCACATGAGAAAGGAAACAAAATGGGTGAGGAGAGGTTCTCGGCCCAAAATAACTAATACAAGGCTGAAAGATTTTCATTGGTTGAAGGAGTAATATTTAATGGGTTGTTAGAGGAGAGAGAAGGGATGGAACGAATTAATTGTGATCCATTCTCTCTCCGGATCTTTCTTTTTGTCTTTACTGAAATTATGTTATTTTTCTTTTTACTTGTCTCCATTGAATTCTACTTTTGTAACCGTGTTTATGCTTAAAATGGAGGACACTTTTATATTCTATTAATTGCCTTAATTGTTTCATTAAATTCCTTCTCTATTCTACCTTCTCTTTTGATTTCTTCCAGTACCCTTTTATTTATGGCCTTTGAAGAATATGATTGCAAATCATTTTAGTTGAACTCAACTATGATGGCAAGACATATTGAGCAAAATATACTTTTCTCATTTTAGACTTCTAAAAGCAATTTCACTGGAAATGATAAAACAATAAGAATATTTTTCTACACAATTAAAATTTTGAAAGCTGTTTTTAAAAAAGAAACAAACATCTACTTCTAAAATTTTAAAATTTGAGTCTTGCAAGTATTTTTGTCTACCTAAACTTAATGTTATTAAACTCAAGTCGACTAATGAGTTAGTTAGACTGAGTTTGAACTTCTTTTGTAAGCAATGCATTAATAAGAAGATTAGATTTACATAATCTAGTTTAGAGTCACCTATTTTAAGATGTTTTAATCTCGTTTCAATTTGTTTAGAATGATATACAGTTAGTTTTGTGGATCAAATTAATCACAAACTTCATTTTCAGTCTAACTAGGCTAATTATATAACCTGATTTAAGTTTAATAATATTGTCCAAAACTCTTAAATCTTTTTGCATTTTACTCAAAATCTTTAAAAAGTATATTGATTAAATTATTTTCTATTCTTAAATTTCTTGCTTTTAAACCTTATTTCATGTTACAATTCATTACAAATTCTAAAAATTTTGATATAAAAAATAAATAAGAAATCTTTATATATATAAAAGTATATGAGTTTTGGAGGAAAAGTTGCAATGAGTTTTGGAGGAGAATTTGCCTTCACTTTTTAATACAATAATCTTTATATAATAATTAATAATTACTATTTAAGGCCATCTTAAATGCTTTAATTCAAATCAATTAAATCCATTCATTTTTAATTAGCAGTTTTGATATATCTTTACCTTTAAGGCCGTCTTGAACGGTTTAATTCAAATCAGTTAAATGTATTTATATCTAATTAGCAGTCTTTATATATTCAAAATGTGCATCTTTTGTGGCAGATTTGAACTTTAATATTAATGTTTATTTTAAATTTTATTATTAGAAATTAATAACTGATAAAATTATATAAAACTCTTGAACTTTAAATTAAGTTTATTATAAAATTAAAAAAATAAGTAAAAAAAAGACATAGAAAAAAGTGAAAAGAAAATCAAATATATTGATTTGATTCTCAATGACTTGGAGTGAGTATTATTTATAATATATTTTAATGGCTAAAATATTTGTTTAATATTTTTCTTTTTCATTACTTTATACTAATTAAGATTATATTATATTGAATTTGTTTCGTAAGAATTAGAGAATTGTTTGCACTTTATGGGAGGAGTTTGATGATCAAATGATTGTTTTTTAAAGAATCAAAATTCTAATGCTTTATCGATTATGATTATTCAATTATGTAAAGTGAAAACATTTGGTGGTATGATTCTTTATCTATATTAAACTCTTTTTAATTGTGTGATAGTTATTATTATCAACAAATTATATTTCATAATTGTTTCAAGAATTTTAGGCATATCAAATGCTTATAATAAGACAAAGTTGTATATCAATCTTAACACAAAAGACACTATTGATTACAAGAATAAATAAGTATTTTAATTATTTTTTATTTATAGAGACATCATTATATTTTGCATGATATTTCATGTTTTTGTTAACTTATAAGTTATCCAATTTGTGGTATAAGATGAATATGAATGATGCAGGTATAAGTCAAATATTAAGTTCGATGGGTACTCTTCTATTTCAATGGAAGATGATTTACTCCAAGCTCAAAGCTCAAAGCATGACCATATACATGAAATAATTGAGACAAATTATGTATGTTTTGTATTGAAATAATGAAGTGAAATGCATATAATTAGCAGTTAAATATAATTTTGAATTTTAATATAAATGATTTACTTTAAATTTTATTCTTGAAAACTGATAATTTATATATAATTAATGAAGAATAATAGAATAAATGAATAAGAATTGATTAGTATATATATATATATTCTAAGGGTCATTTATGTTACATTTGAATCTGTTATAAATAATCAAATAAGAGTTATATGGACAAACATAAAATATTTAATAAAGATAAAAAAATTGTATTTTATTTAGTGTGTATATATATTAACATATTTGTACTTTCTTTTTAACCTTAATATTAACATATAGGATCATTCATGAAGAATAGTAAAATGAATAAATTATAATTAATTAATTTATATATTTAAAAGGTCATACAACAATGAAATAATAAGAATTAATATTAATTTAGTATTTGTAATTTAAATATTATATAAAAAAAATACAAAAATTGTTAAAAAGTTGGTATACAAAGAAATCTTTCAAAATATAAATTAGATTTATTATAAAAATTATAAATTTCCTTTTTAATTAATGTCAATAAAAAATAAAAATACTTTATAAAGTTCTATATTATATTTCTTTCTTTCAAATAACTAATATTTTTATTAATAATAATATTAACATATACTAATTAATTTTAAACTTTCAAATAGTTTAAATTTTATTATAAAATTTTTCTTATCATAATATTTATCTATATTTTATATGTGACTCATAAATTTTATATTATATCAACATATGTAATTTTAATTAATATAAAGATTCATTTTTTTAATAAAATTATTTTTCTCTTTTACTTTCTATTTAAATCTTAATTCAAAATTTTAAAATATATAAAGTATATAAAATTTGCATATAAAAACTTATTTATCTTATTTTCCAATCTATTTATATTTGATATTATTCAATATAATACAATTTTATTATTATATTTTTATATTTAAATTATAATTTTATAATATTAATATAAATAAATTTTTGTAACATATAAATATATTTACTAATCTATAATTAAATTTTTTATAATAATATTTATAATATTTAAAGTCACATATAAATTATTTTTAACTGTTATATTTATTTTTTATAGATAATTTATTTTAAAAATAATCAAAATTTTTATTTAATGTTTTTTATCTTTCTGTTATATTAAAAATAATTATTTTAATATTTAAAGTATAATTATTTTAAAACTAAATGATATATATATTTAATTAATAAATATACGATTCAATAATAAGAGATTAAATTATAATACTTGATATATAACAATAATTTTAGAAACACAAAATAGGCTTATTTAATAAAAAAAATTATTTATTTTTATCCTTAAATTGTGTGCTATATAATTTTATAAGATAAAATAAAATATATAATTTTATTCCTTCAATAATTTTTGCCTTAAAAAATTTTAAATATATTTAAATTTATTTTTTTATTAAGAATCCTTATATTGTGGTATGTATATATACATGTTAAATTATTACAAATTAATTATAAGAGTATTTTTAAACTTTATAGAATTAAATTTATAATTTATAAATTTAAATTATATTTGAGTTTAAACCTTTTACTTTTAAAGTTAATTTATAAATATTTAAAAGTATATTATAAATCTTTATATAACATATAAAATTATTTTATTAGTAATAATATTAATATATACTAATTAATTTTAAAATATAAAATAATTTAAAAGTATTTTTAAACTTTATAGAATTAAATCTATAATCTTATAAATTTAAATTTTATTTGAGTTTAATCTTTTTACTTTTATAATTAATTTAAAAATATATTATAAATCTTTATATAACATATGAAATATTTTATTAGTAATAATATTAATATATACTAATTAATTTTAAAATTTAAAATAATTTAAATATTATCAAAAATATTTTAGATAATTATTTTTTATTTTATAATTATTAATTATAATATTATATTATAACATAATAATTTATTCGTGCATTTCACGGGTCACCTTTCTAGTTTGAAATAAAAAAAATAAAAAAAATACTACATTTATATAATTTAAAAAACTTAATTAGTTTAAAAATAAAAAAACTAAAATTACAAACCACCTAAGTTAACTATAATGAAAATACAATTCAACCTGATTTTTAAATCTTACTATAATGCATCAACACGATTTTGTGGGCAAATACTAATTATTTAATTTATACGGAAACACACGAAAATTATGAATAATTTTAAAATATTTATTTATCAACTACGTTTATAAAAATACTTGAATATATTTTCTGAATTGCAGTCTGGCAATTGCAGAAAGCAAGGGAGCGAGCTATTAGAGTGCCTCTGCGTCGCGAACGAACGAAGAACCCAGAGCGACGCAAATCCGAGACTGGAAGCTTCTAGATTCGTTAAGTACAAGTTAGTTTCTTCAATCGATGTTTCTTATTCTGTAATTTCTTCCTCATTCAAACTCCTTACAGATTGAAAATCCCCTTTGTTTTTTCCTTAATAATAATAAAAATAGGGTCCCAAATTTTTCACTCATGTATTTGAACTGTTTTGAGCATAAATTTCTCTGTTTTGCTAACGCCAGATTCGGTGTGCACCACAAATTCACGGCATTCTATTTTATGGTATTTTAATTTTAATTCATTTCAAATAATTCGCATGCGTTTGGGTTCTTCTAGAACTTCCATAAACGTGTCTTTAAATTGATTAATGTGATAAATCTGAAAATGTTTATTGTTTTTATTTGAATTGTTGAAGGAGAAGAAGTCATATTTTGCTCTAACTCTATACCCAATTTGGAGCACCGGTTTGAAAGATTTTGAGAGTTGAGGGAAGAAATTTGATTGAAATATGCTTCAGATTCGGCTTAGTAAGGCTCCTGCATCAGAAGGGTCAGCAGGGGTGAAGCTGTCATCTGTTGAGACTGTTACAGTCGCGTGCCCTGACCATTTGGTCCTTGCTGATCTTCCTGTTGCAAAGGGCATTGGGGCAGCCAATGCTGCTTCTCTTGTTAAGACTTTGGGCCGTAGATCCCGCCGCCAGCTTGGCGAGCGAGTTCACTTCTGTGTTCGCTGTGATTTCCCCATCGCTATTTATGGACGGCTGGTAACTAATTATACATGGTTGTATAAATTTTTATTGAAATTTATGCTTGTTAGGATTATTTTAGTCATCTCAGGATCTAAGTTGTTTGGTTTTAATTAGCTTTTTGTTTGGGATTAGTTTCAAAAGTGGGTTTTTGTTTTTCTCCTGGAAATATTCTTTGTTATAGTCTCAACCTGTGTCCTCTCCAAAAATATAAGGCAGGAAAGAGAAAAGAAATTTATTGAAGAGAGTATGCTAGCTGAAATGCTGAATGGTTATTAAGTAGAATGCTCCCTTCTATTTCATGTACTTATAGGTTTTTTAACTGGAGCTTTTATGTGAATATAAGGTTTATTTTCTTGTATGCCTTTTCTTGGGGACTTGACTTTCAATTTTTCTGCTATATAGGGTTCTTAAATTACTCTTAATATTGTCCTGTGATGGGCCTTTGTTTTTATTGTTTAGCTGATTTTTTTCATTGATGGCTTTGCATTATCTGAAATTTCATTGATAATGACAAAATGTGTCATGTAAGTGTATCCAAACAAATTTTTTCCTATGCAATTTGTTTGCATTTTAGATTTCACAATGCTGCTAAGCATGCTCTCGAGGCAGCCTATTCAGCATTATGTCTGTTTAAAATTTAGAGTGTTTTTGTCAGTTTGTCTTTTTATTGCTGGACTTGTGCTAGAACTAGTTAAATATCTTGATGTTGGTTTACATTATACTAACTGGCTTATGATCTTGCAGAGCCCTTGTGAACATGCCTTTTGCCTAGACTGTGCTAGAAGTGATTCAATGTGCTACCTGTAAGGATATTTCTTATCTTCTGATCTTCATACTGTAAATTAATGCACACCAGTTGCTTATGACGGCTTTAATTCATTGTCTGGGTTCATATATAATAGGACTTCAATTTGGAGCATAATGTTTGCTTAGTACTGGCATTAGGAGTGGTTTCAGCCTAACCAGGCCCTTCTTTTGTCCTTTTAGTAATGCCCTTGACATATTAACTAAGTTGAAGTTATACTATGTATGCCTTTCAACTTTCAGGGAAGAGATGCATTGTGAAGTTATACTTCTGTAGGGCTGCATTAAACCTTTCATTTTACATTGTTTTCAAATTTGATATAACTTTTAAGTACTTTGGAAATATAATTTTAGAATTCATTCTTAAATATTTGTGAACACCTTGCTTACACATCAATTTTACCTGATATATGGTGGGTGGCATATTTTAATTTGTACATTTAAGTGGGGCCAGCTGCATACAGTTCAAACTCTGATAGCTTGAATAGCTGTGAACGATGTGTATGCAAGCAGTGTGTAGTAATACTCTTTTCCACTTTGCAATAGCAGAGACACTATGATAGACCTCCTATAAAGAAAGCTTACATGAGAAGGAATAAAGGGGGACGAAATAGATGATTAAAAGAGAATGTAACAGAATAGGTTCTGATGTAACAGTTTAGTGACTGTTAATATAACAGATTAGTATAAATTGAAAAGGGGAAAGAGGGGAATGGGCAGGTTGTAATCTCAAAGGAAAAATAAAGTGGGAGTTGACAGGCTACCCATCCAAAGAGCCTGAATTTGAGTTGTATTTGTTACTGATAGCTTCTGTGATTGATCTGGGTATCATACTGACCTTGGGTCTATCAACCAAAACGAAATCAATAATTATTCTGAATTCTTTTGTTCCTTTTGTTTCTCTTGGTACCAGTTCAACCACTAGAAATATTTAAATAAGCATGGAAAAGGTTTCTTTAATGTATTCATTTACATGCTATTTGCCATCTGTTTTGGAAGCCTGAGGTATGCCCACTGCTAGATATAAACAATTCATGTGCTTTCATCTGACAAGTTAAGTTTTTGGGATATTTAGTAAACATGGTATCGCAGCCTTTATGTGTCATGACCAAGTAGTTCAGGGTTCGTTCCTGCTGCTCCAATTATTTTAATAAGAAGTCCAAGTTGGATTTTAACACAAGTCAGGCTGTTGTGCTGCGTGCATTGTCTACACTTCAAGTTCAAAGGGAACTTGTGTGAGGGGGCATCTGGAATTCTTAATACAAGACCATTCATTTGCTTTCAGTATGATACCCAGATCTGAATATTGACCTAAGGGAATTTGTTTTGTAATTGATCGCTTCAATGGATAGAAGTTATCCTTTCTGTATATAATCTGATGTCTATGGGAAAATAATTTTCATCTTCCTTGGAATACAGGTGTGATGAACGAATCCAGAAGATTCAAACAATCAAAATGATGGAAGGAATTCTCATATGTGCTGCTCCTCATTGTCTCAAGTCTTTCTTGAAGAAGGCTGAATTTGAATCTCATATCCAAGACAGCCACGCTAACCTTCTTCGACCCAATACAGAGAAAGAAGATGGAAATGAGTCAGAGGCACAAAGTGTCCGACAATCTACTGCTTCAGATTCCACTGCTCGAGGTCCCCAAAGGCCTGTTTTTTCTCCTGGTTCAAATTCCCAGCAACATGATCTGGAAGACAAAACTCGTCGACAGCACCCAAGAGAGCAACCGCCCTCAAGGTCAACTATGCAGCCAAAGCCACCCTATTTTGGTCAGCAACATCACCCTTCAGATAACATGTCTGGCTCGGTTGGAGGTGTACAACAGGGCTTTCATCAACAAAATTTTGATGTGCAGCATCCCCCACAAGAACCTTCTCAGTTTGCTGACAGGCAGCAAGCAGTTGGTCCAGAGACCCCGTTTCCTGAGTATCCAGCAATGCACCCTACACAACCTTCCAATATCCCCTCACTGGTTACTTCAAACCCAATGATGAATCCTCCTATGCCATTCGGTTATCCCCCTTACCCACATGAGCGAGCTCAACCATTTTATGCTTCTCCCTTTGATATGCCTAGGCAGGACTCAGCTTCTGAAATAGGTGGGGACCAGAGTTCATTACTGGGTTTCCCACAAGGTGTCCCAAGTGGCCCCAATTTTCCAGGAAATTATCCCCAGCCCTGGCATTCAGGGGTTGCTGGTGTGCCTTTTGAACAAGCACAGGGTGGTATGGTTGTGGATCCAAGGGATGCCAAAGGTATATTGGCACCCCAACCCATGCCCCTGCCACCACCACCTCCACCACCACCGCACATGTCACATTTGAAACAGAACTACTATTCTGGTGAGCTTGGACATGATGGTCAAGGTTATGGGTGGCAGCATGACAACCGTGATAGCTATGGAGGTCAAGGATAGTAAGGCTTCCAATCATTAGTTTCTTGGATTAGGTTAGGTTGCTTTTGAGGATGTTTCTGTATGCATATTTGTCTTATGCATCATTCAAATGCTAAACTCTAAACTTTTGGGCCTATTTTCTGTTTGTATATTTTAATCGAATTGAGTTTTTCCTAAATCGTTTACCGAAGGTAATGAAAAGTTTTATGTCTCTGTTTGGTGCTATAATCACGAATAAGAATCGAGTCGGAATAAAATGGCTTTCCAAGCTGATAGATGTATGGTAGATGGAGTTAATATGGAATGAAATCAATTTGATCTAATTCATATAATTATCCTCTTGAGAAAATAAAGAATAAGGCAGTATAAGGTTTGTATTATATTTTAATGTCAGTTGATTTAATTATTTTACAAATAATTGCAACACAGTCACATAATAGCACTTTTTTTAAGTCATTATTAGGATTAAAAGGACAACGGTTAAACAAGCTTTTTATTTTTATTATTAAAATAGGCAGAGGTTTTCTTTTTTCATGGATTCCAATCTACGGACTGTTGTCTAAGTTTGATCTTCTCCTTGGAGGAGGAAGAGGCTTTCATGGAGACTTCTTTTTTCCTTCTCTGGATATTGTCATCATCACTATTATTATTGTGTTTCTAGCAATCATAACCAGCATCACCTATGATTGGATCAACATCCTAAGTAAAATAAATACTTATTTTTCCATATAAATGAGAGATCTATCCAACATGAAACAATATAAAAAAGCTTACATATCACATTAGTGATCATCATAGATTAAAAAATTAACGATATTCCCTCAACTTATATTTACATTTTTCACAACTCTTTTTTTTTTTTTCCTATTTCTCTCCATTTCAAGGGATATAGTTAGAGTCTGGCATAACAACTTGAGCAAAAATTGGAATACCCTTTCTCCCGTAAAGGGAAAGAATCAATCTTAAAGTACTAAAGTAGAGAACAGTACAGTCCTCTATATTCCAAGAATTTATAAGTATTTGAGGAATTTCTAAATTTATGCAATGTTCCTAACTAATAGATACAATGTGTTAAATTTCTTTTTTATACAAGAAAAATATTAAATTATAAATTTAATCATTATACTTAACACACTTTGACGATGTTATACAGAAGGGATCGAAACATAAAAAAACACATAAGAACTAAAATGTAAATTTTAACTATAGAAACTATTTTGTAATGAAATCAACCGTTAAGTAATTAATATATTAAAATATATCATTAGTATCACAATACACCGAGTGAATTTTATTCAATCTGGTTTCAAAGTTTGTTTGTCAACTAAATCTTAAATCCTAAATTAAAAGGCTATTACTAGAATAGAATCAAACATTAAGAACAAATGAAACCACTAACATTTATAGAAAAAGAATATTATACATAAATCATCAAAATAATTCAGAATAAAAGATTACATCCAATCCTAAAAGGATTCTAATTACTCATGGTAGCCATTATAATACGAGAGAGAGAAAAGAGATGAGATGGATGATGCTCAATCTTCCTTACCCTAATTCTTCCTTAGTTGCTTTTGTTTCTTACTCTTTACAATACCATTTTTCTTCTTATTCTCTTTCTTTAAAAATAGAATAAATGAATTCTCGTTCAAACTAGAAAATTTAGCTTAAGCTAAAAAGGCATCCACACTCAAGCAAGAATCTCTCGCTTGAGTGAAAACAAGACTGAAGTTAAAGCCTGATGCATGGATTCTCGCTCAAGCGAGAAATGGCTCGCTTAAACAAGAAATGATTAAAAGCATTTTCTCATGCTTTTGCCTTTCACCTTCATTGCATTCTTGAAAATAAAAACTTTTAATAAAGAGGATTAAGATAAACCTCCATCTCACTCTTTAAGCCAAATAGTGCACTTAAATAAAATTCATCTAAATTAATAAGAAATGGGGATCTAAATTTAATACATTTAACTAAAACTTAACACTTATCATGAACTAATACTTTTTTACTTAACTTACTTTTGAATCAGTCTTTTCTCTTAAACTATCTTCTAAATCTATTTTATCATCTATATCATTTTTAGAGATGTCTTACTTTACAATTGATTTATCGTCTGATTTATTTACTAAGTGATAATTTTATTATCTTATACATGTTTTTGAAATACTTGAATACTAGATTAGTAATATTAAATATTTCATTTTACATAAAAAAGTTTTTCACTCATCAAAATTTAAACTTTTAGAGCTTATTTTTTTTATTTTTAAAAATGTTTTTTCTTTTTAAAGTAAAAATAAAAGAAAATTTGTTTGTTAACATTTTTTATTTTCATTTTCTTCTTAAAAGTAATTTTTTAAAAAAATTATAATTAATTTTTAAAACCAAAACATAAACAAAACAAACCCTTAGTCACTTAAACAAATTACTTTAACAACAATCGTGCTTTAATCCATCACTAATTGTTAAGTTATCGCTATGACTATCACTATATGAATATTTTTTTTTCTTTTTGGGTAATACACATGAATAATATTTATTAAAAAAGATTAAAAATTATTTTAGTATCCTAAAAAATATTTAAAACATGTTTGAAAGCTAAACAATAAATTAGAAAATCAAGGCAATAAAAAAAAATTAAAGACTAATTTATCATACATTAAATTAATAAATTGATCTCTTCACTCTTGTATTTGTTTTGACTTTGACTAGTAACTTTTTTTTTCATATTAGGCTCGTATATTTTATATTTGTTCCAAATTATTCCTTTTTAAGTAGGCAATTATTGTTAACAACATTTTAATCATATCTAGCACTATGGTGTTAGTTTTGACTAGGTGACATCCAAGTTTGCAACAAAATGAATATTTAACCTGTCAATCTCTAAATTAAATTTGTAATTTAAGATTTCTAACATCATTATCTCTGCCCCTTTCAACCAGTTTCACATCATTAGTGTCACCAACAGTGTTTTTGTCTTGGTCTTTCTCATTATTTTGGAGATATAAAGTCATTTTTCATTCCTTTAGGAGGTATATTTAGGTTGCACCACCTTTGAATTATCTCCTTATTAGCATCATTATTTTTGAAAGGGTTGGTTGTGATAGTGCTTATGTCATGGATATAGTTTTTTTTACGTCCTTAGCTCTTTTACCACTTCTGCCATTGTCATTAGTGTTGTTGGAGCATTGTTGAGTTTTCTCTTAACAATAAGCAATTTAATACTTATTTTTCAAAACACTCTTAATACAATCAATAATCTTTATCTAGTTCAATAATTTCTATATGAATGTTCTTTAATAATATCAAAAGATTTCCTCTACAATTTTGCTAATGAATGATGATGAACTTTGCTATTCTTTCTTCCTTCAATATGCACTTCTTCTATGCATTTGTGTGGATATAGAAAATATGTCACTTTAAAAATAATTACATAATATTATGTTATTTCATGTCTAATTCTATATCAACAAAGCTAGTAACACTATAAGCAAAGTTAATAACATTGTTAATCAAGTTTAACGAGAGAACTAATTTGGAACAAATGCAAAACATATGAGACCTATATGGAAAAAAAAGTTACTAACCAAAGTTAAAATAAATACAAAATTTAAGAAAGCAATATACTAATTTAGTCTTTATAATATAATTTTTTAATTTAAATTAGTTTGGTTCAACTAAAATAAATTTATGATAAACCTAAAAATAATTATTTATCACTTAAGTTACAACCATTTTTCATTTATTTTTTAACATAAATGTTCATTAACGTATTAATATTAATAAAAGAACATTATTTCTTATGACACAATTAAAAAGAAGTATGCTACAATTTTAAGACCTCAGCTACCTGAGTTAAGCAAGAATATGAATAAAGTACTATTTTATTCTCTAAAACTATAGGTTTTCATATTATTAAAAATCAAACATTTTATTATGTGAAATTATAAAAAAATTTCAAAACTTATCAAAATAACATTTTAATCTTTAAAATTATAAATACTCATTAATTTAGTTTTTAAAATTATTTAAAAAATTTCTTAAAATTAATATATATCAGTAATTTTAGTCCATTCAATTAATCTTTATTAAATTCATCTATCAATATATTTGATATTACAAATTATAATCTTAATATTTTGACATAAGACTTATTTTAGTCTTTTAACTTTTAAAAAAGTTTTAAACAAAATCTTTTCTGTTAGAGACTCTAATTTCGTTAGAAAGCTTTATCATTTTGTGTCATGAGTATTATATGTTACTGTTCATCATCTTTTTCCTCCGATCTCCTATTTAGTTTTTAGCAACTTTTCTTCTTCCTTCTTCCTTTCCATCTTTATCTTCTTATACTTAAAACTTTATCTTCTTGCCACTAACATCAAGTATCCATCCTCAAATCCCAAACCATAAATAAATCAACTTTCTAAATACTCATTTCTATTTCTGGCGGCATTATGTCTGCCATAACAAGAACATAAAGCACCCTATGATTTGCAACGAGAGTAGGAGAGTCATCGTGTCTCACCACTTTGTCTTGTTTTTTAGGCCATTAGCGCTAGAAAACATGAAACCTTGCACTATCTTCTCTTCTCTATCTGGAGGAATGATTCTCGAAAGATGCTTGTGTGATAATTTAAAGATTAAATTAATAAATAAATATAATTTTAAAAACTAATATAATTAATTTATGATATTTTTAATTTAAAATTATTTTTTCATAATTTAAAAATTAAATTAGTGAATATCTATAATTTTAAAGTCTAAATTAACAATTAATTGTAATTTTAAGAACTAAACTATTTAATTTTAATAATTTCAAAAAAAATATTTTTTCATAATTTTAGCTAAATGGACATATTTTATAATTTCATAATCTAAAATTGCATGTTACTCCAAGTGTATTTTGGAACAAAAAATACCATACATGTAAGAAGTAAAAAAGAAAGGTGGGAAAAAGGAATGGCATGAGATGTGTTAAGTGGTGTGAGTGTAAGGGAGTGTGTTATGTAGCTTAACGGCCAAACCGAAAAAGCTGGCTCATAACTCATTATTGTATCACACGCAGCATAAGAAGTATCGCCCTTCTCACTTCGCTGTTTGGCTTTTTCCATCTTTCAACCAAAACCCCAATCTTCTTCATTTGCATAGCTATTGCCAACAACAAACAACTACTACTCACTCCTCTTTTCTTTGACGATCTCCACGAAGCTCTTTCATTTTCATTTTCAAACAACCCTCTCTCTCTCTCTCTCTCTCTCTCTCTCTCTCTCTCTCTATCCTTAATTATACCGTTCTCTTTCTTTCTTTTCCATCGAATTGCAGTTATTACTTCTATCTCTCTCTCCGCCTCTTTTTCTGGATCTTCAACTTCTCCCGGGTAACTTTTTCTTCCTGGATAATGGAGTTTACTTTCCTCAATCTGAGGAGTTTCTCCTGAATGAATGGTTATTGGGTTCCTTTGATTATAGGGAGTTTGAAACTCTTGTTCAATGTTGCTTGGATTTTGTGAAAATGGAGCTTAGTTAAGTCGATGGGTTCATGGCAAGATTCGTTTTTTATTTTTTGGATCGAGATAAAGAATTTTTACTTTTGTTTCGCTCTTTTCTCGTATTCCCTTTATGGGTTTTGTTGATTTTGTCGTCTTTTATTATAAAGTGTTGGTTTTTGTTATATTTATGTCAACATTGATAGTGATCTTATTCTGGGATTTTGTGTCCTTGTTTTTTAGATTTTGCCGATTTGGGAGATTGAATTTGAAGAACTCTGCTGAGGAAACATGGCTGCTGCTTCTGCATCTCTCACTGGTGCTTCTGCTTCGGATCTTCTGAGGAGTTCAACCAGCGGTTTCAATGGTGTTCCTTTGAGAACCTTGGGGAGGGCGAGGTTGGTTTTGAAAAGGAGGGATTTTACTGTTGCTGCTAAGCTGAGGAAGGTGAAGAAGCATGAATATCCCTGGCCTGATAACCCTGATCCCAATGTGAAAGGTGGAGTGCTTAGTCATCTCTCCTACTTCAAGCCACTCAAAGAGAAGCCAAAGCCTGTTACTTTGGATTTTGAAAAGCCTCTTGTTGATCTGCAAAAGAAGATCATTGATGTAACTCCCTAATTTACTCTCTCGCTCTCTCTCTCTCTCTGTGTGTGTGTGTGTGTGTGTGTTGATGTGTGCTTTGGTCACTTGAGAGTGAAAATGATTATTTGTAATTGTCTGATTCGTCGAGGTTGTGCTAAATACTAATAGCCTAATGGTAGTGCTATTTATGGTTGGAAACAGGTGCGGAAGATGGCGAACGAAACTGGGCTGGACTTCACTGATCAGATTCTCGTATTGGAGTCTAAGTACCAGCAGGTTTGTCTATTGTAACAGACAAATGTTTTGTTAAGAAAATTGGATTACCTGAATGAGAAAACTGATGATGATTACTGGATTAAATTATGTGCTGTGCTCAATCTCATACACACAGGAGTTCTCATGAGAAAACTGTCATCAATCATCATACTGCTCTCTGATTATTGCTTGTGAGAATGAATATATCAATATATAGCATATTTTAACCAATATTGGTTTCTTTATGTCCTAAACAAATTAGATAAGCTTGACTGTAATTTCTGTTGGCAATCCCTTTGTGACAATATCTTTGTTTCTGGAACGAACACTGACCTGTTTTAGTGATTGGTTATATTTTTTGGTTCTCTTTCACGGAATTATACTTTTCTTTATATTTAACTAACTATTAATGTACCTTATGTTAAAGAGTATAATTGTGTTGGAATGTTGTAGGCATGTTTGTACTGCACTTGTTCAGTTGTACTTGACCTATAATGCTGATATTTTGTGATGCAGTTTTCTTCAGTTTGATATTTTCACATATATACTGTTTAATCTTTTCCCTCCAAATCCCTAAAATTTCAATTTGTAAAAATTGGCAAAACACTGATGCTTTCACTCTTCCTTGCTATTACAGGCTTTAAAGGATCTATATACACATCTGACTCCCATACAGCGGGTCAACATTGCACGGCATCCTAACAGGCCAACTTTCCTTGATCATATTTTTAACATAACTGAAAAGGTCTTCTAAATACTATTTTTGTTTTTCACTTTAATATATGAATTGTTGCCTTTTCTTAATACATAGTTTAATAATTGGTTTATTATTGTTGTTGAACCACATACTTTAAAATAACTCTCATTTTTCCTCACGTTGCAGTTTATGGAACTCCATGGTGATCGGGCAGGTTATGATGATCCTGCTATCGTTACTGGTATAGGGACTATTGACGGTAGAAGATACATGTTCATCGGTCACCAAAAGGGTAGAAATACAAAAGAAAATATTCAGCGTAACTTTGGGATGCCAACTCCACATGGGTATGTCCACTAGGAACTCTTACTGATATTGAGAACTTGACTAGATTTAAGATAGGGTATGAATTCAGTTAACTTGTTCTACGGAGAATCAAGTTTATCTGCATTTGAAACTGATGGTAAATTTTCAATTCAAACAGTTACAGGAAAGCTCTTCGTTTGATGGAATATGCTGATCATCATGGATTCCCGATAGTTACTTTCATTGACACACCTGGGGCATATGCTGACCTTAAATCAGAGGAACTAGGCCAAGTATGTTGCTAATTGTGCTCTAAGATTCTTTGGCTCTCTTTTATAACTAGACTAATCCATTTGATTGATTTGCTTGCATGCAGGGTGAAGCGATTGCCCATAATTTGAGATCCATGTTTGGTCTGAAGGTGCCAATTCTGTCTATAGTTATTGGGGAAGGTGGTTCCGGTGGTGCCCTTGCCATTGGATGTGCTAATAAATTACTTATGCTTGAAAATGCAGTTTTCTATGTTGCAAGGTAATTTAATTTTTCACTCCAATATTTGCAAATTTATAATATTGCAATAATGCCTTTTTTTTCTTCTCCATTGTGCATGTTAGACGAATCTTGTAGAGCTTCTTTTGCAATAATGTTACAGTTTGTTTGGAAGAGCTTATAGAGAGTTTATGAAAATAATTTGTAACTCTCATAAACTCTTTTCAACTTATTTCAATAAATTTCTTCATACAGTTTATCAAAATAAGTTCTTTTGAATCTTTTCAGCTTATGTTAATAAATTTCATAGTCCAGGTTATGGTATAAACCACTTATATAAGAAGAGCTTATTAAATAAATTTTTAGTTAAAGCTGCTATCCAAACAAACCCTAAATATTGCAAATTATCTGTAGCTGAAAGTTCAAGGTTGCAATTATATTCATAATTTCATATAACATATATTGTTAGTTCAGAATTATGTTGAATGTGGTTATATTTATGGTAGTTAAGAATTATTCAAATTATTCAAAAATGTGCTTATAATATATGATAATTCTGGCAAATTTTTGTTGGATATTTATTGATCCTCTCTTTTTCCATTCAATACTCATCCTTGAGCTCCTTTGTACTATTTTCTCTTTTAGTAAAAAAAAAGCTTTGTTAGATTTGATTTTGCTGTGGTTACTAGTCAGTGTTTTCACCAATATGGTCCCTTTTATCTATCTATTAATATGTATAAATAGATAGAGAAAGACAGAGATTATGAGTTATGACACATCTCACATAGACACAGCAGGTTGTATGAAGACCACCATTCGATATAATTTCACATAAATGTTTTTAAATTGACCACTTATTCGTAGTTAAATCATTAAAAGTGGATTCTTACTTTTCTTTAGTTGTGCCTATATATAGTTGATGTTTAAGCCATTATACAAGTTGCATCTTAGAAACATCTACATGCACATACAGACATACATATGTGACAGGGTTGATGATAGAAACAAATTATATATGCTGTGTTATTAATCAGATTATGCAGTAAAACTGAGTAAAAGAGCTCAAGCTCTACAATGCTAAGGTAGATTTCCTAGAGTCAGTAATTGATTCCTCCAGAGAGTAAACTCTCCTTAGCAAAACTCACAATATTCTTGCCTACCTTACTCCCACTCCCTTCTCTCCCCATATACTAGAATTTCCCTATTTCCTGGATTCCTTCCACGTCACTTCCCCTCTAATTAACTAATCATTATTCCCTGGCCCCATTTTCTGTCTCCTAGTATAGACTCTCCACATATTGGGCTTTGTAAAACTGTCCCTTCACCAGACACAGGCCCATCACCCTTCCTTATAGTATTTGCCATATTTGGCACCTGACTACTTGTGTTATTCTTAATCTTTTACTAATTGAACAAGTTTGTTTCTGTTCTGCTGGTTTGATCTTTATTTATTTCATGATTTAGTCCAGAAGCATGTGCAGCAATCTTGTGGAAGAGTGCTAAAGCTGCTCCAAAGGTATATACATCGCTAATACTTTGATTCCTTCATTTCACAATATATATTCAACTCTTTTTTCCCTTTTTTATCCTTTGCAGGCTGCTGAGAAACTGAAGATTACAGCCAATGAATTGTGCAAATTGCAAATTGCTGATGGTGTTATACCTGTAATAATCCTATTAATCATGCCTTTCCTCTTATATTTTATTCATGTACAATTGGCAGCTTAAAAATTAATATATAGATAATAACTATCAAGTGTTTCAGTGTTCAGGCAAATTTGTCAAACCTTAAAATCCTGCTGTGTTCTAATTTTAAATTTTCTTAGGGAATAGAATCTAAGTAGAGTTTTGTTTTGTCTGTTCAATAGGAGCCACTTGGTGGTGCACATGCAGATCCACATTGGACCTCTCAACAGATAAAAAATGCAATCAATGAAGCCATGGATGTAAGTTTTCCAGGCAGCAAGTGTTCTACTGAAAAAAAAATGTTAAAAGCATATACTAATTGTGAACTTTGGCTTGTCCACTGTGTAGGAGCTCACCAAGATGAACACAGAAGACCTATTACAACATCGCATGCTTAAGTTCCGAAAGATTGGTGGGTTCCAAGAAGGAATTCCTGTAGATCCTATGAGGAAAGTCAACATGAAGAAGAAGGATCTATCTGTTGCTAAGAAGATTCCTGAAGCTGAATTGGAGGTTGAGGTTGAGAAACTGAAGCAACAAATTTTGGAAGCTAAGGAATCCTCTTCCAATCCTCCAAAACTAGATCTAGATGAGATGATACAGAAACTCGAAAGAGAGGTTGATCAAGAATACTCTGAGGCAGTTAAAGCCATGGGCTTGACAGACAGGTTGTCGAAACTACAGGAGGAAGTTTCAAAAGCAAATGCAGATAATCAATTTATTGATCCATTGCTGAAGGATAAAATAGAAAAGCTAAGGGTGGAGTTTGAACAGGGATTGTCTGCAGCTCCCAATTATGGTACACTGCAGAATAAGCTTAACTATTTGAAAGAATTATCTAAAGCGAAGCGTATATCAGAGACAAACAAGGAGGCTGCCACATTAAAGCAAGAGTTGAAGACCAAAATTGACAATGTCATGAATAATCTTAGAATAAAGGAAAAATATGAAGCATTAAGGGCTGAAATCGAAGCTGATGGTGCATCCTCAGCAAGAGAATTGGATGACGAGTTGAAGAAGAAAATCCTTGAGTTTAGGAAAGAGGTAGATTCACAGCTGGTTAGTGTTCTGAAGTCTGAGGGCTTAGATGTCAAATTTGGAGAACAAGACACTGTGTCAGGGATAGAAGAACTAAACAAAGATATAGAGAGGGTAATTGAAAGTTCAATAAACTCATCAGATGATATCAAGAGCAAGATTCAGCTGTTGAAATTGGAGATTGCCAAGGCTGGAGAGGCACCTGATTCAGAATCAAAAAATAGAATTGCTGCTTTGATGCAACAAGTTGAGCAGAGCCTTGCAGAGGCTGTTGACTCGTCTGGCTTAAAAGGGAAGTATGAAAATCTGGTGTCTAAAGATGAAAATTTGCAAAAAGATCCAGCAGGAGACAATCTCACCAATGATGAATTGAGAGTGCAAGTTGGTGCAAACCGCACCTCTTCTTAATATGTGAGTTCATCTAAACTTCACAAAAAATGTTTTCAATGTGTTTTCTGAATCATTGAGGCATTCTAGGGAGCATTATATCTGTAGCTTTTACCATTACAAGTTGTATTTTAAACCAACATAGCGACATGCAGAGAGTTTTAAGAAGGTTTTATGTGATTTTGGATTGAAAATGATTGCATGGGATAAATGAGGTTGGATTTGTAACTAGTTTCGTTATGCATATATATTCTGTATCCTTCATTTGAAATTGAAATTTGGCTCTTAATAACATTATGTTCTATCAGCCTCCTGCTCATATGGAGCTGGTGAAGATGATGCTGGCTGGAACAAATATATGAATGGAATAGTGAAACTGCACCAGTGTCTTCTTGATGTGTTGCCAATATCATAAGGTGGTTGGTTGTACATCATCTAGCATCATGACCATATTTCTTAGAAACAAGTTTTGGGAATTGAAAGACGATACCATGTGAATGGTGGCTAATATTTTTCTATAATCTTCCAATAGAGGACCGGGAGGAATAAAATTGAAAAGCATTTTGTATTTGTTTGAGTCAGATGTTGCAGTTAATTTAGAATGACTTTATATGCTTTTTTTTTTTTTGTCTTTTCATGTTCATTTTGTTTTATTTAATCATTTAAATTTTTGAATTTCTCCTTAATAGACTTAGATGAACATTGTATAAATTGCTTTGAGTTTGAGGAACCTAATAAGTAATAATATGACGTTGTGGGGTTATAATGTCTTTTATATGCAAAAATGATTGTCCTACCTCTTCTGAGGTACAACTTCGTGTTACCATTTTATGTGCTTAAATATTATTAATATGGAGTTTTAGCCATTGGAGTTGTACAATTTCTGGATGACTATTATGCTCTGTGGTAGTCTTCCGTAAGGATTGAATTGAATTTATCCTGGGGAATAGATAGGGAGTGTTAAAGCAATGTTGGGCGCACATATAGGGGATACTTTATTACCCTTGTTTATAAATCGACTAAATTTAATGGAAATCTCAAAAATAAAATGAAAATTAAATCGAAAAAAATGAATTGTATATTTTATTATATTGGATTGAAAATTTTAAAGCTATATTTGAAGATGAATCCTACCTTCTGTTTTATATATTTATATGGATTATATTAACTTGAAAAATTGCAAGTGAAAAGATGGAAAAAAATGCATGGATGCCTCAAGCAGTAATTACTACAAGGTTTTGCCATTGAGAAAATATAAACTTGATCGTAATATGTTGAAGAATTTCACAACATATAATAAGTTGGGGGTGGTACATATATGCAATCTGTCAAGCTTTTATATCTTATAAGTAGTCAACGATATAACGCGTATTTATACTTTGCACAGCATGTTGAAAATACGTGGCATGGTAGAAAGATGTAGCCTTACAAGATCGGTTAGTCGTTGCGTTAGACATATCAGTTTTCCTATTAACTAAAAAAACTTTTTTGGTTAAAATATATTTGATTCATATAATTAACACATTTTAACACTTTAATTCATATATTTAAAAAAATTTATGTTTTAGTCTTAAATATTATATTTTAGTTTATGTCGTTATAATATTATTAATAACTAAAACATCATTTTTTAAAATATAGGAATTATTTCATAAATTGTCAATTATAAAGACTAAAAGTACGTTTAAAAGGAAATTTTTAGAAGAGAAAAAAAGGAGAGGACATATTTTTTAATTTTAAATTAAAAAAATTATATACTACTTATGATGAAAAATACATTATTAATATATTAAGTTTTTGTTAATATATTAATTTATATCTTTTATTTTTTTAAAAATATTAATTTTAAATATATATTTTGTCCTCCCTCTCTTCTAAAATCTCTATTGCACAAATAATCCTTAAATGTGTAATTTAATTTAAAAAAATATAGGTATATGACTAAAAATAATAAAAGAATATAATTCAAATGTTAGAAAAGGAAAAAAGAAATGACATACATACATATCAAATTTTGTGAACTAAACCCTTATTTTGGTCCTCGAGAGAGTTTGTATCTTGCATTTTAGTCCCTAAAAAATTTAAAATGACATGTTAGTTTTTGACTTTCAAATTAAGTTTATAAACCCAAACATTGTTAATAGACAGTAACGGAATACTAACATATCATATTAAGTGACATGTGTCATTACTTACGTGGCAAAATAAAACTGATGTATCACTTTAAGTGACACGTGTCATTGATTACGTGAAAAAAATGACGCTATATATGATATAGTATATGTTTTCGGTTCATTTTATTCCTTGAAATTATAACTTGTCAGACATTTCAGTCTCTGAGATTATTACTGACAGATATTTTAGTCCCTGAGATTTTCATCAATGGGCATTTTAGTCCTTGAAATTGTCACTGACGAACATTTTAGTTCCTGAGAGAAAGAAAAAGAAAAAGGATGGTGGAGGTTCTATTGAAAATGGATATGGTGGAGGAGATGATAGAGAAGGTCCATGTGGAGCTGCATTTGCAAGATGGTTGGTGGCTTTGTAAGAAGGGGAAGGGAAGGGAATATAAGAGGGATTGAAGTTCTTGCACTCGTCAAATGATAGAAAAGTCATGCTAAAACCTTTGTCGTTGTCCTCACCCATTGTAAACTGCTGCATCATCAAAACCAGTCATTGTTATTCAGAACCCAATGCATCATCTTCAAGTTACACCAATGTAATATATTGCCCTTACACCAATAACAGCTTCATCACTTATAACTCAAATTTTGTACTCAAGTGAAGCTGAAATACTAGATATGAATGCACACACACACACATATATATATATATACAGGAAAACTAAGAAGAAGAGTGTGTAATCATATTCACACAAGAAGAAGCTAAAGAAGATGTGAAGGAAAGATATGAAGACGAAAGCAAAACCCAGAAAGCAACGAGTTATAATCTCAAAGATTAAAATGTTTGTCGGTGACAATCTCAGAGACTAAGATGTCCGTCAGTGACAATATTAAGGACTAAAATGTTCATTGAGTTATAATCTCAAAGACTAAAATGAAACAAAAACATATAATATACTACATATAACATCATTTTTGTTACGTAATCAATAACATATGTCACTTAACGTAACATATCAGCGTTGTTTTGACACTAAGCAATGACACGTGTCACTTAATGTGACATATCAGTATTTCATTATTGTTTATTAATGGCCTCTTAGTTTAGGGACTTAAATGCCTAACAGAGATAAAAGTCAGAAACTAACGTGCTATTTTTAATTTTTTAGGAAATAAAATGCACGACGCAAACTCTCTTGGGGACCAAAATGACAGTTTAGTCAAAATTTTGTGAGGTTGTAAGCATGGCAAACGAAGTCATCATTCATCTTCCAAATTGCAAAACTGAGATTATGAAGGATTAATTTGCACATCTCAATACATCTTAGAAATTGGAATGAAGGTATACTCTAAGTTTACTTGTCTCATTTTGGAGCATTAGTGCTTGACATGGAAACCATTACATTGGTTGTTTAGTATAACTCATCTCATAGCTTCCAATTGTGATTGTGGGATGAGAGCATAACTAGCAAGAATTTAAGGCATTCTAAATTATGCAATTTATTTTTGCTTTTCTTTTTCTTTTTAGTTATTGTTTATTATCTTATTTTTCTTCCAATCAATTTCATTTCACATGACTACTGACTAATATTAAACTTAAGCACACACAAGTCAGGATAGGTGAATGAAAATAAAGAAATATTGGTGCAATCAATGTCAACTTACAGGGCCAAATCAATAAAAGAAGTGGACAAGACAAAAATATGAGCCAACAAGTCAATGACTAATAGATCAATCTTTGTCTTAAATTCTATAAGATAATATTGTCACTCACAAAAGCAAAACTACAAAGGAACATTCAAATAGGGTAAAGGACAACAATATTTACCTTAAAGAGAGCTTGCATGGTGAAGAATAACAATCAAGACAAGTAAAAAGTAGAAATAGAGGAAGAGATAACCACTAGAAAGTAGAGGAAGGAATATTAAATTACGATAATATGAAGGGTTAAGGATGAAAGTAAATTATTAGTGGCTTTTTGACCTCTGTAGGCAAAAAATTAATAAAAAAACATCAAAATAGTATACTTTTCAAAAAATTTATCATAGTTGCAGAATGAATAGTGGCAATTTTACAAAACTCCTCTTGAAAAGGTGTCATTGAGCATGGTTGCAACACCTGGTAATGTAGAAAAAAAAAACTCAACTAACAAGCTCCACTACATAGGGAGGTGACACATATTACTCTTGCAAAAATGGTTCAAACTAGAGAGGCGCCACTTAGGAGGAGTGTGTGCCATGTGTTACATGCAAGTAATAACTCTTGTTGGACATGTGCCATTGTTCGAGAGGTAGTCACGTGTTAGCTACAGGTGAATGGCTCTAGTTAGACGAGTGTCACTCATGAAATATCACCACATGTTATTTGCAATTGAGTGGCTCCTCTTGGACATGTGCCACTTAAGTTGCATGGATATGAGTACAGTGATGGGTATGGGTATATGATACGACATTTTCTGAAAAAATAAGGTATGAGTACATTGCTTAAAAATTATATATATACCTAAAATTGTACAAAATAAAATATAAAAAATTACATATAAGATAAAAGCATACAAATTTTAGCATATCATATATGATATAAAATAAAAAGGGCATAAATTTATCCACAAAGATAATAAAACATCTTACAATACAAAATTACAATACTTAAATTGTTCAACATGACATGACAGTAGTAAAACATAACTAAGAAAATTAAACTCTAACAGTGTCAATCTCATTGTTTCCTTCCCCACCACCCATGAAAACATCTAGTCATATATGTCCCAGAATCACTATGAAACCCTACTGGAATATTGTGATTGCATCAGTTATAAAATTAAATCACCAATTTATTTCATAATTCAGATTAATTTTAGTGCCAACAAATAAATGAGCCACAAGTAAATAGATTCTTTAGGGCTTCGACTTACCTTAGAGAAGAGAGAGAGTTGTTGTTCGTTGCTTGCTAGAGATGGTCGTTGCTTTAGAGTTACTATTGCTCCCTAATGTTAGCTATTGGCAACTGGAGTCGTTGTTGCCTGCAAGTTGTAGTCGTCGTTTGCTGGTGGGGGCTGATGGCTGAGGTTCGAGATAGAAGGAGGAAAGCAGCAGGTAAGAAAGGCCTAACTGAGTAAGATCTTTTGGGCAAAAAAAAAAAACTTGAAATAATAAAATTTAGGTCCAAAATTTTGAATAGTTGTACCCAAGCCATATCTTGTCGTACACACTTCCCACATCCCAATTTTTTTTCTACATTTTTTTTTTGGATACCTACCCGATACATACCCATTCCACTACTAAAAACACATGAAATACAAACGGATTTTTAAAAGTTTATAAACTAATTTTGTAATTACAGACGGAATCAACTCGTCTGTAATTTTCTCGTCATTAAATTAATACAGACAAATTTTTAAATTCGTCTATAAATTATAGATAGAAAAATCTATCTCTAACATTACAGATAAATTTTTCTGCTGTAATATTTAAATTTTTTTCTTTTATTTACTTGTATAATTATTCCTCATTATTTCTAATTATCATAATAATTTGGAAGCATAAAGAAAATTATAAAATAAAAATTCAAAATTCAAAAAATTATTTCAAAAATATTAAATTGAAATGTCATTACAATTAAAGAAGTAAACATCTAAAGTAATAATGTG